TAACAACATGGAAGTGCTTTTTCCTTACAAGGTCTGTTCTGTATATAAGACGATAAGACGTAATTCTAGTGACTCTCCATTTAAAGATACCCCTTGACGTAGCCTAGTACCCGCTTAGTATATGGAAACCCAGCTTTCCAAACTAAAGAACCGTATCCAAAAAGCCACATTTTATTATTTTTTATTTTTCCACTGTCTCTATTTTCTCTTATTTATTTTTATCTAATGTTTTTATATCTAAAATTAAAACAATTAAATGAATATTTATCTAAAATTAAAATATCAAAAAAAATTGTATTTTTTCGGCGAACACAGTTTAGATAGAAAGTACAACTGATTTTACGTTTATAACTATCAGCTAATGATGTGAATTTTGTAGGTTGTAATGTTTTAGTTTTAATATGTTGACATATAGTATATCTACAACTCCACACTGTCTGCTAGAGAATACTATATAAAATCCACTGTGAACCGTACTCTGCGTACTTTCTCTAATATTTGGTTTGGAAATTATACTACAAGTATACCCTACCGGACCGACCTGGTGTTTCAATTCAGTATTTATATCCTGAGTTTTCATGGGAATTGTCAATAACTACTTCACTTTTATCCAGTGGTGTAGTGGAGGGTGGGGGGGCGATACCCCTATGCACCCCTAGACATGCACCCCTTAGGCCCCCCCCCCCAGCCAGAGCGAGTATGTGAAGTACACCTGCAGTATGGAAACAGTACAGGAAAATGGCCGTTCACCCCCCACTAGAGCGAGAGGCAGGCCCTAATATATATTCTTTTCTTATCAATTGACAATGTCACAATTTGTCCGTTTTATGATAATTTCTCAAATTTTTTCTTGTACCTTAATCTTATGCTATTTTTAACCCGTTTTTAATGGTTGAAAACAGCTGCATGTTTCCATAACTTTTTACCAAAAATTCTTTTATTTTTATTATATTAACCCCTGGATTGAACAATCTTCATCATCAATATGTATAATGTAGAAGCAAACTGCACACCCACCGGGCTTATTTATTGGTTAGGGAATATTTATATAGGGAAATTTGAGAACATTTCTATCGTAAAAAAGCTTTAAATATAATACTGTCTCCAGTATAATCTAATTATAATTGATATTGATATCATTTTGATATGATATACTCAAAAGAATACAAATATATATTTTTTTAAAAGTTGTTTGCTCTTTTACAACTAGATTTTTTAATGGTATGATTGGTAATTATGGTAAGATGACTAATAGTCAGGTAGATTAATATAAATTTTAAATTTTAATTCTTTTACGGTTATTTTAGGGAGGTGCACATCAACCGTTACGGGGGGTGCACAACAAACAAACTTCACAAAAGTTCACCCCCATAGGCTAAACCTCCTACTAGGCCCCTGCAGTTTTATCTATAATATTACTAAGTATTATAATAGATAAAGATAAATTGCGCATAAGACGACATTTTTCATCTTGAAAGATATAAATGTACAGAGATGTTTTGAAGATATTCCTATTATATAGATTAACTAGGTCGGTTGTGAACATTGGCTGTTGAGAGAAATTTAAGTTAGTTCAGTCCTTCTCATGTCCTTCTTCAGTTCTCGTCAATATGATATATTGATCAGTGAAATAAATTTCACTCCTGAGTGGTTTAATAATTATGAAATCCATTAAAACACCAAACCACGCCGCTTATCATTGAAGTACACTTTGAGTTCGCGGACTGTACAATTATTGGTGATTTTGCGTACATAAGCTATCTATGTTTATTTATTTATCTATTATTTGTATGCATTTAAAATTCGGTGATGGGGATGGACCAAACCTCTCTAAGTAAAAAAAAAGTAGATGTTAGTTCCACATTTATTAAAAATATATTTCGGTCTGTGTTGACCCTCGTCAGTTCTTGAGATTGTTTCTATCAGGAAGGTTAAAAACAAAGCAGTTAATTTCTTAAAATGTAAAAGAATTAGTTTTATACAGGTTTAAACAGAAACTCACAAAGGATGAGGGTGTCAGAGGTCACTGAACGGAATTTATACGTTCCGAAAAATCTTGCAAAATATATTTCTCTAAAAAAAAGTATTTGTTTAACTGCAATCTGATATGTATTAATTCCATCATTAAGGAATATAAATAAGAAAATACAGCCTGATAAAATAGTTTGAATTACAAAATACCGTTTCTTTCATGATTCAACCATGAGTTTAAATTCACTAAGCATGGGAATTTTGAGTTTTAATTCGATAGATAAATATATATGCTGATTTCTCATGTTTATCAGCAATTCTTAAGTTGCGCATAGAAATATCATCATTATTTCTGTAGAAAGATACGACCATTTTTTTAAAAAACTATTTCATTTCTGATTTATGTTTGATATATATAAATCAATATCATAAAGAATTATTAGAATTTTTCTCATTATGAATTTGTGTGGGATAATTATAATTATCGAGGAACCGGTTTTTATCATAGTTCGAGTGATACGACATTTGTAAGTCAGATAAAGCGTTTATGTTAATGATTAAGTCCGATTTGAAATAAGAAATGATTCATAAAAAAAATGAAACCCTTTGTTTTTCTTATCGATCAGAAAATACAAAATTAGCTTTTTAAAACATATGTTTAAACCTTAAATGATATATTTTTTAAGTTTTCAATTTAAAAAAAAAACAATATTTTAAAGTCAATGAAGATTGATAGATAGATAGATAGATAGATAGATAAATAGATAGATAGACGGATAGATAGATAGATAGATAGATAGATAGGTAGATAGATAGATAGATGAGCAGAGTATATCCTGTAGGTAGAAACCTAAGTCTGAGTGCGGGAACTATAGACTGGCTGGGCGCATATCAAGGATGTATATGCAGGACCAGGACCAGTACGTGGGTGTTTACTATATCTAGGAGTCAGGTGTTCAGTTTAGTGTCAGTCGAACCAGAGATTCTACAGATGTCAAATTGAAGAGAATTGCTCGTCAGTTTGAAATCGCACACTTTCTTTAGTTTTCAAATTTCAGATGTGAAACTAGCTTTTCTCATACTCATACTTTGTTCAAAGGTTAAATGAGCCCAAGAAACGAACCCAAAATCCAATTTTATAGGAAGACATTCATTTTATGAGGAAATACTGTACCGGCTTTGTGAACTAATAACGCATTACATTTAAACGAAGCAAAGCATCATTAGCAAAGTTTCAAAAACTTTTTTTCTTGTCATATTGTTTTTAAACTTAAAGGGTTTTCATTGATACAAAATTAGCATATTAAAAGTTAGTTTGAATTAGTGAATTGAAAAAAGAGATGATATATTATGTAGGAAAATTAACTTGATTGGTTTTTTAAATTAACACATTTATTATTATTTATATCTAATTTATGCACTTTTTCACTTTCTATATTTGCACTAATTTGAACAGACATTAAAATTTTTAATTTATAAAATAATTGGAATGAATAATTATTCCAGATAACAATGTAACTGGCTGTAGCTAAACTGCGAAAGCTGTACACCCTACAGTGTAAAACAAAAACTGTACACCCTACAGTGTAAAACAAAAACTGTACACCCTACAGTGTAAAACAAAAACTGTACACCGTACAGTGTAAAACAAAAACTGTACAACGTACAGTGTAAAACAAAAACTGCACACAGTACAGTGTAAAACAAAAACTGTACACCGTACATATAAATGCAAAGACGTTTAAAAAAATGGAAATAAAAAATGAAAGTGCACTAAAAAATAGTGAAAAGAAAATGTGATGCGTGATGTAATCTGTGAAACAAACTTTTGACACTACATTTTCAACCCCAATGTACATTGCACAGTGAACAAATATAAAGCGGTACATAGCGGTACATTTTGTGGAATTAAATTGTGAATTTATTTAATGTCTACACTGCACAGCTGACTGAATAATTGCACCATGTATCAATAAAAAATGGCAGTTTGTAGAAGAACTAGACTTATTAAACTAATCATACTATCCAGGGAAAAAATCAATCTTTATAAAATATTTGATTTCATTTATATAAAATAATATTTTTTCCCCAATTAACAGCAGTATTTTTCTTCCTGTATAAATAACAACTTTAAAAGTTTTCGTCCGTATATGTTATTTGTTGACATTTTTAACGTTATTTTAAAAAGGACTAAATCAGTTCAGCCTTCCTAATTTTTTTTTTTAGACATAATTTCAAGAAACATTTGTCCTGCAGACTTTCCTGCTTTCAACGGTGCATTAAAAAATAAAAAAAAATAAAAAATATTTTAAGGCAAAGGAATTGAGTTTTTGTCACAAATTCGAATTTTCTAATCCCTATACCTTTGTAACCTGATGGATATTTTAACTTTAAAAATTTAATCCTTCAAATTCATAGTCTTTGGGTTGTTAAGATATTGGGATTAGAAAATCAGAGATTATGGCGTTCAAACAAACAGGCGCGCAACTAGACATTCAATTATTTTCTAGACCCCCCTTAACATTATACTCAACCATGAAAAAACTACCTTACCAATTCAGGATATTTGGGGGTAAATTTTTATATTCGGGGGAATTCTTTTCAGTTTGAGAAAAGTGTGTGTGGGCAAAATCTAAAAATTTCAGGGGGACGTATTTTATTTGGGGGGCTTTATTCAGTTTTGGGAAATCTTAAAACTTTGTTTTAAGGGCAAATTTGGTTTGGGGGGCTTTATTCAGTTTGAACAAATTGGTGTTTGGGAAATCTTAAATGTTTATTTTGAGGGCAAATTTTTTTATTTAAGGGCATTTTCTAAGTATATGAAGGCGCTTTTTTAATCAAAGGCTTGAGCGCAAAACTTCTTAATTTTGGAGTAATTACCTTAAAGTTGGGTGTATTTAAAAAACATTTTGGGATAAAAATAAATTAAATTTAGGTGCATGCAAATTATAAATATTTGGTGGCATTCTAAAAAGGGGGTGGGGAAATAAGGACTTCTGCCCCCCCCCCCTTACGGGGGGTCAAGTCTTCTTAATGGCAGGGGCATGCCCCCATTAATCTGTCTAGTTGTGCGCCTGCAAACAAACAAGCAAACAGGCAACCTATGGAAACATATGTTTAAGTAAATATCTCTTATTATTTACATAAACAAATAAAAAGATTGATTGATTGCTCAGTATTCTGCTGGGGGTTCTGTACCTCCTCCTCCCTGATGAACTGACCGGCCTTCTTCAGAAGTTTACTCCGCCCCCAACCAAACTAAATGTAAACAAACAAAATGTAAACAAACAACAGGCTCAACAAAATATTGCTAGAAGGTAAAAAAAATCAAGTTGATCCAATAAATCTAAACAAATGATTTTTCATAAAAAAAGTAGTTCATTGGAAAAAGAATTGAGTTTTTGTTACAAACATTAATTTTCTAATACCTATATATTTGCAACCTGATGGTTTAAAACCTTTAATATTGCAAACTTAGACTAATTTATTTTACAGGATTCATAGTTTGAAATATCTAAGGTATATAGGGATTAGAAAATTAGAGTTTGGGGCAAAAACTCAATTCCTTTTTACTAAAAGCGTCAATTATTCAAGCCCTCTGGAGCATCTTTGAGCATTAAGTTGGACAGAGTTGTGTTCCAAATTTAAAAAATTGGATTATTATGAGTATTCTGAAAAAAGTATACAATCCCTTTAAAAGAGATTTTTTTCAGACAACGGTCTGAGCATGAACCTTATCTTACACCGGGAAACCCAGGAAATTTCGAACCCCTCAGGTTAGAATTTTAAATTCTTTAAAATATAAAAAAGAGGTTAAATACAATAAACAATGATAATGATGATGTATGTAAAAAAATAATTAAACTTAAAACCAAACAATTAAGCTGATTATGAGAATGGGATTGTAAAAGAATTACAGAACTAATCGCAAAACTGTGGATTAACATGATTATATATGATAATAAATGAATAGATAATTTTTAAAAAATAATGATTTTGTGAAGGATATAAAAGGATGTATTTATATGCTATCCACGGGCAGCCGTAGTACATTTGAATTTCCGAACCGGGTCAACCTTTTCGGTCCCAGTTTGTACTGTACCTAGCTCTATGGACAGGACTAGCCGGTGCAACAAGGTCAGACGTTATGCTTCATATCGGTTGAATTTACTTTTACTAAAGGGGCAGAGCGGTGCGTGTATCGTTTAAACCGAAGAATCAAATTGACAATTTATATGTATTGGAGTTTAGATTATTATGATGTAAAGATAGATTAAACTTGGCATGTTTAATTCTCAGCAGACAACGGTACCCTTTAAACCTTTTATTGGTCCAGGATGAGATATTCTTCTTTTTTGTTTAATATCAATCGTGTTTTTGTCTATATATGTAACTTGTGCACGTTTAAGAAAGACAAACGCCTTATTTTTCTAATTAACTATTAGTCAGATAGAGATTCGGGGTACTACTATTCATTAAAGATGTCGCTTTTAAAATGGAGGTTTAATGGAAAACACGTGTTATACGGTTGTTAATCGTTTGGTTCATTTTTAAAATCTTTTTTATTAACTACCAACATTTCAAAACTGTATTCTGTTAAACGATAGTTTTTGGTTTTATTTGCAGGGTAAAAATTAGGCATAATGTAAGAAAAGCAAATCTTTTTAACAATTTATTATTTTTGAATTTATTTTGGGATGAATTTTATAAATTGGATACAGTTGATACAGACAAATTCTGATTTGAGTCTTCTTCTTGTCATCGTTTCTCTCCTTCCTTTTTTCTTTTCCTTCTGTTGACTTCCCTGATTCTGATAATTTTGAAAGAAAATAAAAATTTGTGAAAACCAGTATGTATCGGGACACTCTGCTTCATTGTAGTTGTAGTAGTTTTCAGTTTTATTGTCTCAAGTAAGAACTAAGAAAAGCAAATATTTAGAATAAATAAATTTGAAATTCGTAAAAATTTTCAGATTTAAGTGAAACTGTCCAAAAACCCTCAAAACCGAATCAAAACGATTAAAACCTCTAATAACGTGTACACTGTACAGTCCCTTTAAACCTCTAATAACGTGTACACTGTACAGTCCCTTTAAACCTCTAATTACGTGTACACTGTACAGTCCCATTAAACCTCTAATAACGTGTACACTGTACCGTCCCTTTAAACCAGTAATAACGTCTACACTGTACAGTCCCTTTAAAGCTCTAAGAACGTGTACACTGAACAGTCCCTTTAAACCAATAATAACGTGTACACTGTACAGTCCCTTTAAACCTCTAATAACGTGTACACTGTACAGTCCCTTTAAACCTCTAATAACGTGTACACTGTACAGTCCCTTTAAAGCTATAAATCATGATATAAAGGGATGAGGAGGAGGAGGGTCCTGGGGAGAACGGAGAACCCTACCATCTTGAACCTGAACTATCAGACCAAGTAGATAACTCAATCAATGATTATGGTAAGAACAGAGATTAATATCTAATGCATTTATAATTATGGTTAGAACAGAGATTAATATCTAATGTATTAATGATTATGGTGAGAACAGAGATTAGTATCTAATCTATTAATGACTATGTTAAGAACAGAGATTAATATCTAATCTATTAATGATTATGGTGAGAACAGAGATTAATATCTAATGCATTTATAATTATGGTGAGAACAGAGATTAATATCTAATCTATTAATGATTATGGTAAGAACAGAGACTAGTATATAATCTATTAATGACTATGTTAAGAACAGAGATTAATATCTAATCTATTAATGATTATGGTGAGAACAGAGATTAATATCTAATGTATTAATGATTATGGTGAGAACAGAGTTTAACATCTAATCTATTAATGATTATAGTGAGAACAGAGATTAATATCTAATCTATTAATGATTATGGTGAGAACAGAGATTAATATCTAATCTATTAATGATTATGGTAAGAACAGAGATTAATATCTAATGTATTAATGATTATGGTGAGAACAGAGATTAATATCTAATGTATTAATGATTATGGTGAGAACAGAGATTAATATCTAATCTATTAAGATTGTTTTGTCTGTATATTTTTGGTACTCCTCAATAACTTTGAAAATAGGAGTCCAACTTCGCCTAATTTATAAAGAATTACATTTAAAGGTTTGTTCGTTCAAGAAAGTTAAGTGAATGAAAGCATAAATGTACTAAGACGACCTTTATAAGATTTTCCAGAATTATTGGGACCCCTTAGTTCTCAATACAGAGCCGGGTAACCCCCCCCCCCGCCTACCCCCCTTCCGTCTGTAAAATCAAAATTAGGTGAAATAAGTGCTTTTTTACTGTTTAAGAAGGAATCAGGCTATATTTTCTCGAAGATTCTATATAGATACTAAACTACAATCATGCGTATTGCGTATTTCATTTCAACTCAATGAATCAAAAGCTCAAGTGTTCCTGTCATCTTGAAGTTATTTTACAACTTTCGTTTTAAGATTTTGAATTAAAGTCGTTTTGTTTTTAAGCAGGTTGCCTCTAATTTTTGTTTTGTTTCAGGGATGAATATGGTTGCCAGTAACCTAATATCCTTGGATAGAACTATCCCTGATACAAGGTAATCAAAAATTTGATTTTTTCCAATGAAAAAAAATGGAGTATGTCTCAGAACAAAAAATTGCGGATTTTTTATACAAAAATGTGTAATCTTTTTATCAAAATATTTTGCTAAAACGTATTGTTCGATTTAGTGAGTAAAGTAAATTCATTCAGAATGTTATTTCTAAAAATGTATACATTTTTTTAATTAGGTTCAGTCAAATATATGAATTGGCATAAACAAACCTAGCTACCTAAATGTTTAGGTTAGCTGAATGTAAGAACTGGCATTATCCAACCTAGCTCCCTAAATGTTTAGGTTAACTGAATGTAAGAACTGGCATTATCCAACCCTGCTCCCTAAATGTTTAGGTTAACTGAATGTAAGAACTGGCATTATCCAACCCTGCTACCTGAATGTTTAGGTTAACTGAATGTAAGAACTGGCATTATCCAACCTAGCTCCCTAAATGTTTAGATTAACTGAATATCCAGCCCAGCTCCCTAAATGTTTAGGTTAGCTGAATGTAAGAACTGGCATTATCCAACCCAGCTCCCTAAAGCCTCTGTAGTTATCGTCTTCCATAACGAGGGAAGATCTGTGCTGATGAGGACAGTTCACAGTATTATAAACAGGAACATGGAGATAAATTCTAGAATTTATACAGCCAAAGTTGTATTGGGGTTTAAACCAATTCCTGAAATTTGATAATACATGGTGTCCCAAAACGCATGAGAATTTTGGGACATTAAAATTGACATTATTAGATAGTTATACAACTTAGTTGGGACACCCTGTGGCTACTGCTGAACTTAGTTTTGAGTCAGTTTTTAAACAAATAAAGTTTTTAAATTTTTAAGAATCTGGGACTCCAATACTGTTTTAAAATTGCATTCTTGATAAGTTAGCTTTTACTATAATGCAAAGTTTTCCATCTGTTAAAAGAATTGTTTTGGTTAATATTTTAATGAGAAATTTTTTTATAATGAAATATACAGCTTTATCGAGAATTCAATTTATTATGTGATATATAACTCACATTTTTATTGAGCACTTTTAAAATAAAAAATCTTAAATGTATAAAAACAAAACTCAAAACTATAATATCTACTAATTTTTGTATGTTAAAAAGATATAAAGATATTTATAAGAATTTTAGATAGTGGATGAGTGCAGTTTCTAATTTTCTATTTCTAAAAATGATTATATTGCAAATTTCATCCTAATTCCCAAATGTAAAATTAAAAAGCACTCAAACATATAATAGCTATGAAGAGAGGAGATGTCGTCATTGTTTTATTTCATGATGCATTTTTACCATAATCCATCTTACACCCTCACAAGAAATTGTGACGTGTCAAAATCAAATTGTTAAGGGTATCAAGTAAATGTCTTCTTGTACCCAAAAACGATTAAACTTTCTTTTGGTCTGTATCTGATTATTTGGTTGACATTTTGAGTAATGTTTTTTTAGAATTTTTATATTTTTTCCATCTAAATATCTCTTTGTATATGTTAGAACACCTTCCCAGTTTCTAGAGGAAATTCTTCTTGTGGATGATTTCTCTGATCGGTAAATACATTTTTTTTACAAATTACCTTCTATATTGTGCATTTTTTGGTGGAAATTTGTCAAGTGCTTTTTCCTTACAAGGTCTGTTCTGTATATAAGACGATAAGACGTAATTCTAGTGACTCTCCATTTAAAGAGTGGCACGTTTAATTGAGAGGCAAGTCTTATTGAGTGGCACATCTGATTGAGTGGTGCGTCTGATTGAGTGGCACGTCTGATTGAGTGGCACGTCTGATTGAGTGGCACGTCTGATTGAGTGGCACGTCTGATTGAGTGGCACGTCTGATTGGGTGGCACGTCTGATTGAGTGGCACGTCTTATTGAGTGGCACGTCTGATTGGGTGGCTCGTTTGATTAAGTGGCACGTCTGATTCTTAAAATTATCGTGTAAATCTTTAACCGAGAAAAAATAAAGAAAATAATTGTAAATTGATTATTTTTAATTGTGGTGACGAGCAGATTTATTCAGCAGAGATTAAGAAGAAAGTAAAGCGATTTTATTTCTTTTCAAGACGATATCTTCTTCTGTGTTAATCTGATAATGGGCTAATTGGTACCATTGTGAAATTGTGAATTGAACATGTAACTTCTTATAAGAGGGTCACTTGAAAGTCCCTTTAAAGGGGCTGTAAGCGTAATTTCAAGTGACCCCCCATGTAAAGATGACTGCAATGCCCGATTTACAATTTACCCTTGAAACCTTAACCTGGTACTAAATTTGTAAAAGATAACGTCGTTTTAATTCTCATAGTTTCTCCTTTGCTTTTCATAAGCAAGAAATGCGCAAATCCCTTAATTGCAGAGGAATCGCAAATGAAAATAAACCTTTTAAAGAAACAAAAACATGGATACACAATTTAGACTATATCAGACAAAGCGTTTGTAAATCGGGCTTAACCATCTTGGTATATAGATTGTGCCACTGGTAGTTACGCTTAATGACGTCACATTAGTGACGAGAAGGTCAATTTTGACCGGGTTTTTTTAAGTGCCTTTATTCTTAAACTAAATGTCGTCCTGTCTTTTCCTGCGCTTTCCTTAGGATTCCCTGTTTTCAAAACATATTTTATATTTGACGTAACTTTAAACTTGTTTTTTTTCAATTTAAAAAAACCCCAAAAAACAAGATTTTGAATTCTGAAGAACACCAAAAGAATTTAGTAAATTTAGTGTTGAATCTATAAAATTGTCAATTTTTTGCCAGAAAAAATTTAAGCCATTTTTGGAAACTTCTTTTAAAGATCTAAATAACTAAAACATGAAAAGTAAAGTTTTGAAGATAATTAAATAATTATGAATTAACAAAGTTTTTTAGATTTTCATGTTTTACAGGTCACCCTGTACAAAAAAAATTTTAAATTAAATTTAATATTGTTTTTTCAAGAGTACGATCAAGTTTTGTTATGACAAGATCCTACTAAAATAACTTCTCTTATAGTTAATGATCTCGTCACTAATGGGTAAAGAAAGTTTCTGATTACCCAAATATCAATGTTTAGCTGCAGCGCACAATAGTCTCTTAATACTTTTTACATAACATCATCCTTTCTATACGTAAAGGTTTATAGATCAAGAGTAAATCTGCCGATCTCTGAATTTAGTTCTTTTCATACTTTTAATACTCCTACTTTAAATTTACTGAGATATATCAATCTATATAAAAAAGATAAAATTGTTTTACAGGAATGAGTTAGGAGAGGGTCTTCAAAACTATCTCAGAATATTTAGAGGAGTAGTTAGGTAATACCATGGTAATCAGGTAATAACCCGGTAGTCAGGTAACAACATGGTGGTTAGGTGATAACATGGTAGTTAGGTAGTAACCTGGTTGTCAGGTAATACCATGGTTATCAGGTAATAATATGTTAGTCAGGTAACAAAATGGTAGTTAGGTGATAAGCTGGTAGTCAGCTATGTGATAACATGAAAGTTTGGTGATATCATGGTAGTTAGGTAGTAACATGGTAGTAAGGTGATAATATGGTAGTTAGGTAGTAAGGTAGTCAGGTAACACCATGGTGGTCAGGTAAAAACAAGGTAGTTATAGGTGATAACCTGGTAGTCTGGTAGTCAGGTAATAGTATGGTAGTAAAGTGATAATATGGTAGTAAGGTGATAACATGGTAGTTAGGTGATAACCTGGTAGTAAGGTAATAACATGGTAGTTAGGTGATAACCGGGTAGTCAGGTAACAACATGGTAGTTAGGTGATAACCTAGTAGTCAGGTAACAACATGGTAGTTAGGTGATAAGCTGGTAGTCAGGTGATAACATGGTAGTTAGGCGATAACATGGTAGTTAGGTAGTAAGGTAGTCAGGTAACGCCATGGTTATAGTCAGGTAATAATATGGTAGTCAGGTAACAACATGTAGTTAGTTGATAACCTGGTAGTTAGGTGATAACCCGGTAGTCAGGTAACAACATGGTAGTTAGGTGATAACCTGGAAGTCAGGTAACAACATGGTAGTCAGTTAAATCTTTCGGAGTTAAAAGGACTGTACAGAAAAAATGTTGTGGGGTATAGGCTGAAGCCTAAGAACTTCAGGAGTTAATCGAGATCTAAAAGAGTTCTTTCTGATGTTCTTGTCTTGAGAAATTGATAGGTAGAACTTTTATAGGTCTCGATCAACTCCCGAAGTTCTAAGGTTTCAGCCTATTCTCCCTTTCATTTTTCCTTTAAGTCCCTTTAATTAATGACATGGTTTATTCAGTTAAATATATGATAGCCTAGAAAACAATAATATCAAATTATATCTCCAAAATATGGAAAAATCGGACAATTCCCAATGTAATTATAATTCCCAATGTAATTATAATTCCCAATGTAATTATAATTCCCAATGTAATTACAATTCCCAATGTAATTATAACTTTTTGCAACCATTGTATTGCCATGAAAGGAACTGAGTACTCTCTTTAATCTCTAGTATTCTAATTCATATATTTAATCTCTAGTATTCTAATTCATATATTTTTGTAAGTTTAATGAAGTAAATAGTTTATAACTACAGGGTTAAGCAGGAAGGATGACCCTGGGACGACTGTACGGAATTTAATCTGTCTTTTTTTTAAATCAATGGTTTCCTGCAATTGTTAGCTTGTTACTTTATTTACAAATCAAATACCATTATAAAACTTTATTTAACACAAATTGGACAAAGGAATTGAGTCTTTGCCACAAACTCTGATCTAATCACTATACACATTTGGACAAATTTATCTTATCGTATTTTAAAAGTCTTAGGTCGTAATTAAAGTCTCATACTATTTGGATAACCTTGTACGTTAAATCATTCCTTTTGTAAACCGTTAGATTCAAGAGAAGTGGTTCAGCTCATTTATTCGTGGTTCAATTACTTTATTGTCACTAATTATTTTTTCTCAGATATCATAGACCTTTGATATTTCAAACTTTGAATTCTGCTAGGTCATAAAAGGTAAAGATATAAATAGTATAAAATAAAATAAAAAATTCTTATAGATTGATCCGGAACGAGGAGCGTGCAGGGTTGATCAGATCTCGAACCCGAGGTGCTGAGGAGGCTCATGGGGCTGTTCTCGTCTTTCTAGATGCACACTGCGAAGTAAACAGGAACTTTAGACCCGCATCGTTTTTTGGTTCATTCTTAAAGGGACAATAGAAAAAATTTCAAGTGACTCTTCATGTCCAATTCACAAGGGTACCCTTTAAAGCTTTGTCTGATGAAGAAAGCATGAGATATCCATTATTTTCTCTTTAAAAATCTATTATTTTTTAAATTTCATAGCAAATAAAATTTTTTTAAAAATACTGTTCAAAGAGACTGCACACTGTAGTTTCAAGTGACCTCCAAAGACCTCAGTTGTGACTTGAATAAAAAACTTCAATCAAAATTATTCAATTTTCAACTAGAACAATTTGTATTTCTCATTTATTATTGCTTGTCACTCAATAAATGGAGGGTTACTCTGCAATCTTTTAAAACCAACTAAAAAACTGACGCCCATCTCTGGATTAGGAACTGGTTACCTCCTCTCCTAGCTCCGATATACAGGAACTATACTACTCTAACAGTTCCTATTATTGACGGGATAGATCATGAAACATTTGAGTATAAATCTGTCTACTCAGGGATTTAACAAAATTCAATATTTTATCTCTGGCTAAGAAACGTCTCTAAACTAACTTCTGCTGGTTCAAATTTTAAATAAAATATTTTATCTCTGGCTGCGACACGTGGCTAAACTACCTGCTGCCGGTTCATATTTTAAATTCAATATTTTATCTCTGGCTCCGACACACGTCGCTAAACTACCTACTGCCGGTTCAAATTCTAAATTCATTAAATTCGGTTCTTGAAAACATCTTCGCTGAGCCTCTTTTCAGAAAACAACAAACTTGATCTTAAGGCCTGAACCAGGTTCACATGGACCTTGATTCTTGATTCGGTTAGGTTACACTTTGTAGTTTGGAGACGGATTTTTATACAATAAAAAGACAAGGAAACTTCAAGTTTTATCTATTTTAGGAATGTGGCTATTAATGAATATATTAAAAAAGTCTAATTAAAATTTTTTAATTTTGTTAAAAAAGGGAGTCAACACTTCCGAGGTATCTTTGAATGGGGTATGCTCTATAAGGTAAAGTTGTTAATGTTTTTAACCAAAAATAGTTCAATTTTGAGTCTCTTCTCATGTTAAACTAACTCCAACAAAATGCATTCTGTTTGATTCGGATAATTTCAATCAATTTCCCATTCAAGTTCCCTCAAAAAGCGTGAGATTCACTTAACATATTTAAAAGGACTGTAAAGGAAAAATGAAAGGGGGTGTAGGATAAAACCTGAGAATCTATGGCATTGAATTATATAAATTAAAAATGCAAAATACAAATTTAATTAATTAAAACAGGAACAAACCTGTGGAATATCGTCGTTTTCAGATTGGTTTCGTATTTGTGGAATATGATCTGTTTTATACTACGACTTTTATACAAAATTGCATATATATGAATTTTCGTATAAATTTGAAACCGTTTTATATCAACTTCTCGAGACAGAAACATCATATAGATGTTTTATATGTATCGTTCAACGCCTGAGATTCTCAGGTTTCATCCTATACCCCCTTTCATTTTTCCTTTACAGTCCCTTTAAATATTCAAAATACATATGTGACGTTGTTTAATCATATTCTTTCCATTTGAGGACTTAGTCCTAGCCATAGTTGCTATATAAACTTTTAGTATTAGATTTTTAACTTAAAATAGAAAATACAAAAAAATCTACATCTAATGGATGAAAATTGGGTTTAAAAGTTAAGACTCATTGGACTTTTAACCAATATCTCTATCTAGCTTACTTTGTTCTGGATAAATATTCTAATTTTAAATACCACTTACAATTTCGCAAATTGTGACTTTGAAGACTCAGGGACTAAGTTGCTGCAAACTAACTTGCTTCAAACTCAAATTTGTTGATCCTTACATCTCGGAAACCTGATTGTGTAAACAATTGATATTTCAAACTTAACGACACTATTTGAACTAACATAATTCATAGTTCTATGGTTCGGGCTGTAGAAATACCGGGATTAGAAATTCAAAGTTTGTGGGAAAACTTTTTGGAATTTTGAATTTTCTGTTTCATTAAAATTGTTACATTTTTCCCATTTTTCCCTTTCCGTTAACAATTATAATCTTCATAATCTTCAGGAGACTGAACTGCCTGAAATAGAGGCAAAGAAAAGAGAACATGAGAGTCAACCCTATCCTTCCCCCACACATGCTGGAGGTCTTTTTGCTATTAATAGGTAACCTTGATTGTATTGAGTTTACAAATCAAAACTTTTTCCCAGTTTCTCAGATAATTTATTTATATTTTTACCCCGAACTTTCCAGTTTGGTAATTTTCACTGATTACCTCATTGATACAGTTTAGTGATTACCTCCGTGGTATTTTTTATGACTACCATAATGGTTCTCTGAAGTAATTACCACAGTGATCCTGTTTAGTGACAATGGTACATTTTAGTGACGTTCACTGTGGTATTGTTAATAGAATGCATCTGTTCTACTGTTTGGGGACTACAACAGGGATCATGTTTATTGACTATACAACAGGGCTTATGTTTAGTGGTGGTATTCTTAAACGCCTGACACAAAGGTTCTCTGTTAAGGGACTATTTCCTGAGTTTGGGTGGGTATGATCCCGGATTGCTGGTGTGGGGAGGAGAAAACTTTGAACTGTCCTTTAAAGTTTGGCAGTGTGGAGGTAAGATTTTGAACATTTTTTATCAATGTATTTTTATACTGACAATCTTAAAGCACGATCAAATCTTAATATATGGAAAAGATTTCGAACCAAAATGACATTTTCTGTGAAAGGTTTAAATAAGAATTTTTCATCCTACTAATTTTATTAAAAAAGGATTAATTTTTTATTTTAAACTACATGCATCTAATGATATAATACACTTATTTTTGAAATTTTTAGACAACTTTTCTGTACTATTATACTTAAAATGGTTAATTTCTCCAAACAATCACTTTTCAGGATCCGTACAGTGGGTTCCCTGCTCCCGGGTCGGCCATGTTTACAGGTAGTATTTTGTTTGCCGCTGAACATTAAAATTAAGAGAAGAATTATAAATCGTCTTTGATTTCTAACATTCATGACTTTATCATAAAAAGGTTGTTGCTTTCATAGACTTTCCTAAATGTGATTTAGTTATTTTTTGTGTCTAAAAATTGACGCAGAGGTTAGGTTTAGGAATTTAGAAAACTGGAAAAATCTTTGAAAGAATTGAGTATTTGCCACAAACTCTGCTTTTATATTGTTTATATCTTTGCAAACCAATGTGGTAGACTTTAGATATGTCAAACTATGAGCTCTGTTAGATCAAATAATCTAAGATTGAAATATCAAAAGGTTTAAACCGTTAGGGTGCAAAGAAAAAGGGGATTGGAAAGTTATAATTTTTGGCAAAGACAAGTTCTTTCTGCATCAACTTTGTGCTTATAAATGGCAAAAAAACAAGAATTTTTGATATCAATTGTTTTACTAAAATAACTGTATACAATCCGAGTCTAAAAATCCAAATACGTAGACAGGTAAACCTTAAGATCTCAAATCTATGAAATCCATTTCTGACAGTTTTAGTTTAATTTGATTTATCCACTTCTAAAGAAACTATTTTTGAAAACTATTATTAATTTAGGGCCTTCATGCCATATGGATTTGGAAAACTGACTGAGGGTCGGAAGGGACCAATTATTACAATAAATTATAAACGTGTTGTTGAAACATGGATGGATGATCAATATAAACAGTTCTTTTATACCAGGTAAATTCATTTAATCTTTTCAAGATATTATTTAATGTATCTTTTAATTAGTGGATAAACTTTTATTAAAATCGAACTTGATTTTTGGGGTTTTATCTAGTTTCGGCTTAATATTAAAGATAAAAACTAAAACTTAAATAAAAAAGCTACAGAGTTCATTCATGTATTGTTTGTGAAAAATAATGTCTTAATGGTTGCTGAAGTATCTAGTTCACATAAGGTTTCCTAAAAACCATATTTGGTGATGAATTACAATCAAATCTATTCCTTTACTCTGATCTTATTTTATTTAATGTTTTTTAAACCGCTTTCTTTATATTGTAAATGATGGTAAAAAGCTCAAATATAAATCACTTTATTTTAATATTTATACTATGGTACCAAAAATAAGTGCTTGATCTCTCAATTTTAATTATCAAATCAAGGGTTTTGACCACTTTTAAATTAATTTCATCTTTCCAACGTCTAATGTTTTACGGATAATTCTTGTATTCACACCACAAAAGTTTTAATAATATTTAGAAAAATTACGATGAGATGAGACCCACAGAACTGTTGAGTAAGAAACGATATTTAAGCATTATTATGTGTATTTCATGTTATTTTCAAGCAAATAGTTTTAACATTAGCTTGCAAATTAATTTCTTTAGAGATAAAGTTCTGTAAACACTGCACAATTGTCGTGTTTCATATTCATTGTCCAAGTCAAAATCATAACTTGAGTCTAAAAGTCGTCTTCCTATTCCACAGTTTTATGGGCTTCACTGTAAATGTTTTTGTGAAATCCTTGATACATTTTCTTAGAGAGCCCTTGGCAAAATTTGCAGATATGGGAGATATCTCAAAACAATTAGAGTTAAAGAAGAATTTGGAGTGTAAATCCTTTGATTGGTTTATAAACAATATTGCTCCTGATATGCTCCACAAGTATCCTAAACTTCCAAAAGTAAGTTTGATTGGTTGATAACTAATATTGCTCCTGATATGCTCCACAAGTATCCTAAACTTCCAAAAGTAAGTTTGATTAGTTTATAAATAATATTGCTCCTGATATGCTCCACAAGTATCAGAAACTTCCTAAAGTAAGTTTGATTGGTTGATAACTAATATTGCTCCTGATATGCTCCACAAGTATCAGAAACTTCCTAAAGTAAGTTTGATTGGTTGATAACTAATATTGCTCTTGATATGCTCCACAAGTATCAGAAACGTTATATGATATATCTTATTTACCACGTGACAAAGGAGCTGATTATTAGTCTTAAATTTGATTTTTCTAACCCTTACATCTTTGTAACCTGACATCAAGGAATCTTAATTTTTAAACAATGAATTTTGGAGCCTGCCGAATATGGTCCAAGTTAGTACTTTGATATTTGAAATTAGTAAGTAATCAGTTCCTTTCCTTTTAAAAGAAAGTCTAAGCTTTGAAAATATCTAAATTATTTTGTCTTTATAATATTTGCACATTATTAACCTGAAAAAAACGCGTACATAAAACGATTTTGGCTTCATGATAAGTTTTTGTTACGTTGGTCCTCTTTTTTGCATCTATATTTTTGAGTCAAATTTAGAGCTTCCATATTCCATATTTATGCGTCAAATTTAGAGCTTCAATATTCCATATTTATGCGTCAAATTTAGAAAATCCATATTCCATATTTATGCGTCAAATTTAGAGCATCCATAATCCATATTTATGCGTCAAATTTAGAGCATCCATATTCCATATTTATGCATCAAATTTAGAGCATCCATATTCCATATTTATGCGTCAAATTTATAGCATCCATATTTCATATTTATGCGTCCACACTTCTCTATTTCTAGAATGTAGCGGAGGGATCTTTATTGAATAAGGGTTTAAAATATTGTTTGGATCCGTTGGGCAGAGAAGCACCAGCAGTTATAGGTAATACTTCATTCTTCCTATCTCATCCTTCATTCTTCCTACCTCATCCTTCATTCTTCCTACCTCATCCTTCATTCTTCCTATTCTGGGAATAATCAACTAGTAAGACTAAATGAAGAAGGTCAGTATAAAAAACCCAAATTTCAATAAAATAAAAAAGAAATTAAAAAAAAAGTTTCAATAAATTTCTTTAAAATTATTTAAGCAAATTTACAAATCGATGACCCTGCTTGATTATTTTAATCTAAATCTAATTAAAGAAATTAGCTCACATTTTCTCCATTTACTACCAAAAAATTGCCAAATTACGCTTTATAAAAGAGACTGTAGTAATGGACCCTCCATTTATAGATGCCGATTTACAGCGTTATCCTTTAAACCTGTAACTGAACAATATTGTTGGAGATATCATCGTTTTTATAGTTAGAAAAGTGTTAAATTCTGACATTTTTTCCATTGTTTCTGTAGTTCAAACCCACAAATCCCTTTAATTGAGAAACACTGTGTTAAAAATAATAGAAAATATAATATCTCACTATTAACCAGCCAACGCTTAAATGGTTTCCTCTGTGAATCTGACATGCTTCACTCTATAGTTAGAGGTCCATTTGAAAAGTTCTAAATATAAACTGCTCGTCAGGTCAGCTAGGTTTGGGAGAAAGATGTATAGATGCAACAGAACATAGCGCCAAACTCATCGTTTGTCCAATGGGTACTGATTTCTTCTCTATAATCTCATTAAATCGAAAAAAAACGAAATTCTGAGAAAGCTTAAAAAGCTCTTTTTCTTCATCATTTTGCATTTAAAAACGTGATTCTGTTTAGCATTATTTCCCATGAGTTATGACTGATTCCTGATAAATATTACTTGTTTACTATTTATTAATTACAATTTCTCTTGTCTGTTTAGGATCTGTATCAGGTCCATGGAAATATGTAGACTCTACTCTACAACACTCAAAATATAACAAGTATAAGCCTTTTTTTAATATTATATAAAAGAATTATTTTTTATGACTAAAATATTCAGATGCTTAGCGATAAGTTCCAATGGAGAAAATTTGATTCTGAAGACATGTAAGGTTGATACAACCATGCAGTGGACTTTCATGCCGGTCAAACCAAGCTGGGCATAGGTCAACTTGGTCAAGTCAACCTGGGCATAGGTCACCTCGGTCAAACTTAGCTGGGCCTAGGTCAAATCGGTCATATAGTTCCCATTAAAGCTGGTCAAACCAGGGAATTGGCCCCTCTCAGCTGGACAATAAAAGGCCCACCCGGTCATTTAAGTTTGCCAGACCACAGTCCACCTTGCAAGTCAAACCAAGCTGCGGGCATAGGCCCCTGCACCTAGTCCTTCATGTCGATCAAACCAATCTAGGCATTGGCCCCTGCACCTAGTCCTTCATCTCGGTCGAACCAAGAAGGGCATAGGCCCCCGCACCTAGTCCTTCATGTCGGTCAAACAAATCTGGGCATAGGCCCCTGCACCTAGTCCTTCATGTCGGTCAAACAAAGCTGGGCAAAGGTTCATCCGGTCATGTACTCCACTTTCATGGCGGTGAACCTATCTGCTGTTATATAACCGCAATGCCAAACTGGGCATGCAGAACCATGCATATACCATATATGAACCTAAAGTGCATCAGCATATTTATAATAATATTTATTATTTATATTAATAACTTCTAAACCAAAAATTACAGTTTTTAAATAAGAAAAGTTTTGTTTTAAGCATGAAATAATATAGCTTGAATTCTAAAATTGTATTTTTTGTGATTTCATATTAATGTGTAATATGTAATATATGAAAATATATATAAAATCAGATATAATTTAATTTATTCTCACTTTTACCATTTTTGTTACTTAGTCTTATTAGATAGTGTATACCTTTTTTAAAATTAAAATGTAAGTAAATCTGAAATAATCGACCAATTATTATCATTTTAATTCATCGGAATATATTTTATCCAACCAAAATTAAATCTTTATGTATTATCATATTACAATATATATACTATATACTATATAGTATATACTATATACTATTGGGGGGGAATGTGTATCATACTTAACCTTAAAAAAAGAATACCCCAAATTTTAAATTTGGGGTATTCTTTTCAGTTGGGAGTAAAGTGTGGGGAAACCTTAAATCTTTACTTAAAGGGCATTTTTTCAGTTTGGGGCAATTTTTCGTGTGGGAAGTCTGCCTTATACGCGCAAATATGGGCCCCCTCCTGAGATATTGATTAAATCCGCCCCTGAGTGTCGTTAACGATTTGACAAACCGTTAACGCCGCCGTTAATACTACAAAAGACCGTTAATACTGAAATAACGAGCTAACCGTTATCGAAACGGCTATGAGAATTAAAGTGTGCCCCAGTCCTGTCCAAAACGGCTGAAACAATTACAAAGAAGTGTATGAAGTGAAATAAACACAATCTGGATTTTTTGTGTGAGAGGGGTGGGGCAGAGGTGCGATTCAGGGGGGGGGGCTCACCTCTGCCCCCAGTCCCAAAGCTATGTATGTTTTTAGGCTTTTTTAACCCAGGGTGCTAAGCCAAACCAAGGTGGGTGGGGTCCAGAAAGTGCATCCCACTGGACATTGACAAATTCCTGAACACGCCTTGGGGGGGGGGGGGGCTCAATTTGCCGTTTGTGAGGAATTTCCACTTTTCCAGCACCCCCCATCTCCTCCATCCTCAGGAAACGTCCCAGAGGTAATAAGCATAACACTGATTTTATCCTAAATTTTATGTCGTCAAAAATGGGAGGGGGGAGAGTCACTAAGTTCAGCCCTGGGAGTGGCACTTGGGAGCCCTGAATTTATCGCGGGGCAAGGCTATTGTTTCGAAAACTAGGAGAGCAATTTACCTTCAACAAAGACGACTAATTTATCGATCCAAACAAAATCAAACAACTAACCGGGGCATTCAAGACTCAGTGCGCACTCTCTCGGAAATAAAAACATTTTTTATTAAAATTGTATAATCAAATATTGATTTAATTTAAGTAACTAACAATCATGACCCCGACTAATTTTTAGCTGAATAATATTGTTTTATATTTGTAAATATCTTTAAAGGACAAACGCTTGTTTAAACAAAATTTTAAACATGTCAGTATAAATCATTAAATTAGATGTATGGATAAATCTCGTTGAAAACTTAATTTTCAGCCAAAGAAACATTTAAATTAATATGATTTATCGGCTGGTCCGGCTTGTAAATTTTTTCTCGTTAACTGCGCGTAATATAGAAATTTTAATTTTACAACGGATTTCATGTTTGTAATTCGTAATTATTAATAAGCAATAACTACAAAACTTCTGGGGGGGGGGGGAGGTGCACCAGGACTGACTCATTTTATTTCTTCTAGCTAATTTGGCATCTGTAGTATTTATTTTATACTTTTTTCTTGCAAAAAGTCAATTTTAGTTTAGACTAAAAATGAGGATGCGAAGTATACGAAATTATAAAGGTCTTCCAGCAGATGTTACCCTGAATAGTTTTGCGAACTCAGTTCAGTTGAGAGATAGAGAACCGAAATATCAGCCCTTGGTTCACCAAATTAAACAAACCGGTAGGATATTTTTGTCTTGCCGACTGAAACTGAGAATTTTTGATCATCAAATGTGAAAATGGTTCACTGAGATAAATTTTAAACGGATAAAATCTGGTATGTGAATTTGTAAAATTAGATTTTTTCTTTTTTCTCCAGTCTCCAGTGGGGTAATCTTATGTAGCAAATTTTATTATTATTATTATTCAAATCTATTTATTGATCAAGAAGTACAGGAACAAATAAAAACAAACTTTATATATGTATAAACGATATGTACATTTTGATTTTTTGGTTGTAATAAATGTGTAGACGAAAACAACAAAAAGCTATATCGGCAAAGAAGATTAAATTGCAGAGATAGATGTTATTGAAGAACCAACAGCTTTGCACCATTGTTTCTTTTTAAGAGTTAAAAATATTTGAAAGACAAAATTATAGTTTTGCACCATCAACATAGAGTTATAGCTTTGCACCATAAAAATAAAAACGACTGCGGAGAGAGCGGTTATTGTAGATCCAATAGCTTTGCACCATTGTTTCTTTTTAAGGATTAAAATTATCAGACCCTGATAAGTTCTAATAAACTCGATATTCAATTTAAGAAATAGAATTGGTAGCTTAAATGACGGACAAATTCTGATAAATTTTGATAAACTCAAAATTCTGAAAAACTGATTCTGATAAACTCGAAACTTTTTGTGGTAGTATATTAACTCAGGGCTTAGTTTTGAAAGGTAGTCTTAATGTTCATGACAAATATAATAAAGTGAATCGATAGGCCTTAAACCTGTCCTTGAGGATTGTGTTAGTTGCTATGAAAAATGTTGTGTTCAATTGTTTACGTTTAGAAGAGAGAAGAGAGACCCGCGAGGTCGAGCTGGACTGGTTTGACAGGGACGAGGATGATATCGCGGCGGAGGTCAAGATGTTGAACGTCGGCACCTGCAAGGAGGTCGGTCCTCCCAGCCTTGAGTTCAGCTCCTCCGTGTTCCCTTACGACTTCTGGTTCTTGTTGAGTGGATTTATAGCTCCAGAGGATGTGGGACGGTTCGCCAGCATTTCTCCGCTCACACGGCACATCGTGTCTTCCCAGGCCTTCTGGAGGAGGTTATACTCAAGATACTTCAGTCCAGGTTAATCAATCTATCAATCAATAAACCCTTTTAAATTTTTTATAAAATTGCCGGAGAAACAAAAGGCAAAAATCAAGATTTAAATTTTTAAAGCTAAAAATACCGATAAATTGCAAAATTGGTAGATAAAAGTATAAACAGTGTCAAACTTACCACAACAATTTAGAGTCACCTTAATTAACTGCCATGACCAAATATAATTAAAAAGTTTTTGCAAGTTTATTTATTTATCTTAAACCAAACTTTAACAAGGCTTTTTTATTCAGAGCTAGAGTTGTCATCCGCGTATAGTCCCGAGTCCATGAGTCGACCCCTGGGTCTCCGAGCTCGTGTTATTCTCATGTTGCATTTATCCTACTCTCCCTTCAGAGCAATCAAAAATCAGTCCAGTGTTTGGCCGGATTTAGACAAGCTGGTAAGCCCCCCCCCCCCCGCTTCAATTCCCTTATTTTTATGGAAGTTATTTATTTTTTACCACTATATATTATTTATATATTTATTTATTTATTATTAATTAAACCAATGCCAATTTGCAAACTTAACGGTCCACTATATTACTAACTCATACCAATTGTCGGTTAAATATAGATTGTAATCTGTTCACATATTTATATTGATCAAGGTTGGACGTGTGTGCACATTGCATTGGAGCAGCAAACTAAGCCGGAGCCAATGTTTCTTCTACTTCAAGTTGAAGGACCAGTTCATCACGGAGAACAAGTCTAAGCATCAGGAGTACTTCGTCGAGGAATGGGAGGAGATAAACGTGGATAAAGGATTCCTAGATAAACTCTCAGATATTAATCATAACCCAGAGAATGGTTGCAAGTTACTCCAGGTAACCCCTAACCCAGAGAATGGTTGCAAGTAACTCCTGGTAACCCATAACCCAGAGAATATTTGCCAATTACTCCAGGTGAACCATAACCCAGAGAATGGGCGGGAAGTTACTCCAGGTAAATATAACCCAGAGAATGGTGGCATCCAGGTGAACCAAAACCCAGGGAATGGTTGCAAATTACTCCAGGTAAACCATAACTCAGAGAATGGTGGCAAGTTACTCCTGGTGAACCATATCCCAGAGAATGGTTGCAAAATACTCCAGGTGAACCATAACCCAGCGAATGGTTGCAGGTTACCCAGGTGAACCATAACCCAGAGAATGGTTGAAAAATACTCCAGGTAAACCAAAACTCAGAGAATGGTTGCAAAATACTCTAGGTAAACCATAACCCAGAGAATGGTTGCAAATTACTCCAGGTGAACCATAACTCAGAGAATGGTTGCAAAATACTCCAGGTAAACCATAACCCAGAGAATGGTAGCAAGTTACCCCAGGTAAACCATAACCCAGAGAATGGTAGCAAGTTACTCCTGGTAAACCATAACTCAGAAAATGGTTGAAAAATACTCCAGGTAAACCATAACTCAGAGAATGGAGGCAAGTTACTCCACGTAACCCTTTTTCTGATACATTCTTTGTAAACTCGCGGCCAGGATATTCCAAGCGATTTTTTAGATGAATAAATAAAAAGTTACTAATCTCTATTTTGATATGAATAAGTATTATTTCACAAAAGTTTAGTTTCGACCTCTGCACTGATTTGTTTTTATGTCTACCATGTACTATCCCCCTCCCTTCCTGACTAATACAAAATATCCCCAAGTAAAAGATTCTGATTAGGTTTGTTGTGCCAACTGGTGTCTTTTTCCTTCCCCACTTAGTCAGAAGTTGAAGCGTGTGAGTGTGAGTGTATCCCATGGTATGAAGCATCACAAGCTGCAGATGGAGTTCGGGGGACCTAGGGGACAATCAGGGGATATCAAGGTTCTCATTGATAGTGTAGTGTCACTCAAGGTGCTAGACTGGTGGGATCCTCAGTATTCAAACATCAACAACAACTTTGTCAAATAGTTCCACAAGATCATCTTCGAAATCCTCATAATATTCATTATCATCAACCTGTTTGTAGAACTAAATCTTAGGCAAAAGTATACTTTAGTTTTTCCTGGTTATCTTTAACTTAATTTTTATAATGAAAACTGAAAAAGAAAAAAGGGACAATTTTTATTTCTGTTTATCGTTTTTTACCAAATATGAATTTTTAATTCTTTTAATCCTACTAAAAATTGTAAGTAATTTAAAATACACTCTGAGACCGAATTTAAAGAATTTGAACCGCGTCTAGACGTTGTTTAGATATGAGACGCAGTTAAACATGGTTAGTTCCGCTTAAAATTATAATCAGTGTTTGGAGCTCAATTGGAACCGGTTTTTGGCTGTTCAAATTGTTTAAATTCGGCCTCTGATATACCTAAATTTAGATTTTTGGCAATTTTTAATTTTCTAAGTTAACATCTACCAAATTTAAATATTTAAGTTATGCTAGCCATAATTTATAAATGAGACATTATGATAAAATAATCAGTTAAAATCTTTGTAACGTGCAGGGGTATATATTTTCTTGAAAAAGCATTATCCCTCATCCCGATCTTCAAAAATGCTTTCTTTTTTTAGTGGTCGATAATTTTTCTTTCAAAAAAAATATACCCCTGCAGAAATGAAACTGAATCCTGTGATAAATTTAACTTGTTATATTACATATTGTTAAATGTTTATTTTCTACTTTCAGATTTAATGATGGAAAGTGACATAAAGAAAGAAACAGAAATAAATGGTGATAGGCCCAGTTACTCTGATGAAGAATGTATAGAAAAGAATGATGACATGAAAATGTCTGAAAATGGCGGTAGTATTAAAGATGAGTTGATGAATACAAATGATTCAAATGACAGTGAGACAGAAACTAACGAAGATACTGAGATTGATATTAAAGAAGAGCCGATCAATTTTAGCAAGGACGATCTTATAAATACTGTTAAGGACAGTTTAATGAACAATCTAAACGATGGTTGTCCGTTGACGAATAGGTTAGAAGACGACATGCAGACGAGTAGAAAGGACGAGGATGTGGAGGTAAATGAACTTGAAAGGAGAATAAAAGAAGAGAAAGGAAGTGCGACTGAATTTGGAGGGAAAGGGAAAGGAGAGTTAGAACCTATGGATGGTATCAACTATAAAGCAGAGGTAAAACATATTATTTATTTATCAAAGAAATTATTTGGTTTTTATCACACCAGATCTTAAGAATATCGTTTTATAGCCTGGCGGTCTACCTGGTCCACATTTGGGTCTCCTGCAGATTTCATTTCCTTATGTTTCTAGACCTACACAACAAGTTTTTTAGTTGTTAAGCTATTTAAGCTGTAACGTAGAGCTTACATACATACATACATACATGATCTGTAATGGCAAAAAGAGAAATTGGAGAGATATACAGAGATTTAAACTAATTTTTATAAATCAATATATTTGATCAGAACATTGATGAATCCGAGGACATTGAGATCATAGATAGGGAACAGGTTCCACAACAGAGATTAGAAAGGGTAATTTAATGTGTTTGAAATTGCTTCTAAAAAATCTTTATTTTGGAAATCTGCGAAATTTGTTATTGTATTAATATCAAATTGTACGGAAGGCATGATAAATCAGTAAATTATTACAACTAGCCATTAGCTACAACTAGTCATATAGTTATTTTTGAAAAAAAATCAGCATCTTGATTTAAAGGAGAAAATGTTTTAGGGTGAAATATAAAAATTTTGTTTGTTAAAAATATCCAAAAAGAACTTGCCATTTATTTTTCATTTTTTCCAAGATCTTCAAAAATAATTTTTAACCCCTGCAGAGTGGACGTAGTTAATTTTTTTTACAGGCATTATTTGACTATCAAGCAGCAATTGCAGGGAAATCTGATTGTCCCTACTGTACAGCTTCTTTCAGTAATAAGGTAAATATTGTTATCAATCATATGTTTATCTGTTTGTATATTCGATCATAAGATCTTAGTAGGTCTAAGTTGAGTAGGTTGACTTTAAAAGAAAAATATTAATTTCCAAGCAAAGCTGGGTTCCTAGGCTAGCTTTATAATAGACATAATACAATAAACCGTCAATATTAATCTTACGGAAAGCAAGACATAGCCATCTTAAAAGATAACTGCCCTAGGACGGAATTAAAGCAATTAAACTAAATTTTTTATCTGTTTAGATATCTTTCAAAAGTCATCTGTTATCCGAGCATCTATCCCAGATTGGACCTTGTAAACTTTGTAAAGTATCATGTGGAGCTATACACCTTCAAATTGATCATATAGGTGAAAATATTCGATTTAGTGATTTATTCATATTAATTGATTGAATGTTAGATAAGGGTATATAATAAATATTCTCAGATCTTTGAAATCAGCCTGAAAAATGTTTTAAAATGTTAGATAAGGAGAGGAATTCCTGCATCCGAGACGCATTCGTTTCAATTTTGAACCCAAATATCATTTTCTAAATGTCGTTCTGGTAATGTTTCAAATTTGGAATTCTAAATTTTGCCTTTTTCTTTCTTTAAATCTGACCATTGCATGACCACTGGCCAGGTATTGCACAAATGAAATATTAACTCATGACCAAAAATTTAATGATTTTTTTTCTATATTTATATATTTAAGGGAAAATTATGATGCAAATTGTTAAATAAAATCAAGGAAAGAAATTTTTTTCGGTGTCGGGTCGGACACACGATCCGAGTGGCTTATCAGTTCGTTTGCTTTTTCTTCTTTTAGAAAAGTCCTTATTTAAGTAAAATTTCTCCAGCTATTAGATTATCTAAAGGTTTGTTATTTTTATTTCACCCAACTTATTATTTTTTTCTTAAGTGTTTTGCCGGGATGTGACGAGTGACATTCCAAAAGCCGATCATGTAAGTTTTTATAAATATATATATTTATTTAACATTTAAGTTATTTATTCAAGTGAACTGAACTCGCTGCAGCAAGGTTGAGTTCTAAAATATCAAGATAAAAATTCTACTCATATTTCATTAAGTGTTTAAATATGAGTTAACAGCCAAACTTTTAATATTATGTTGTGAAGTGTTGTACACAAATTGTGTTAAAAAGTGTAAGATTGGAAAAACAAAGGACTGAAAACGTAATGCTCAATTCTCAAGAGCACCCTCTGAACTTTCGTCTTGGCAAAATGTTGGAAGTTATTCTTGTTTTTCTTGTTTTTCTAGCTGAAAGTTGATAATTTTCTATTGTGGTTTCTCAATTAAAATAATTTTCTTATTTGTGCTGCAGAGAGAGGGAACCAACTCCTCAATTGTATAAAGTACATGTTTATCAGGGGCGTATTTAGGAATTTGTCCAGGGGGGGCCGGGGCTTAGCACCCGCTGGGGCCTGAAAACTCCCTGAAATCCGTAGATTTCATTGTTCCAAGGCGGAGCTTAGCCCCCATACCCCCCCTGAATACGCCTCTGATGTTTATTTATATTTTGGTATTATTTGTAGGGTGGTAATTTCCTTAGTGTAGGGGGAGGCAACTATATGTGTCAGGTAAAGAGAATTAAATAATTTAATAATATTCCGGCCATTTTCTTTCCGTCATTTCATAACAAAATTTAATTATTTTTTAAAGATTTTTAATGACATTTTGATGAAACAGTTTATAATAATGTAACTTTCGGTTTATTTAGGATCCGTAGTCTTTATTTTTTTTTTATAATGCTGCGGAACATAGCAGTTTTGATCGGCATGTATTGTTCGAACCGGTTCTGTCAACCTGTAGGACTGAGTCCTAGTCACAATTTACTTTTAGTAATAGTATTTAATCTGAAGTTAACGTTGAAGGGACACGGTATATTACCTTTACAGTTCCTTTAAATATTGAATTTAAGGTTTGTGGATATACGAGTTCCTTTCAGCAGGTGACAACACACTCTACACAGGTACTCAGTGCTATATGCATGTTAGAACGTTTTACAATTGGACAGAGTTGGACAGGGTTGGACAGAGTTGGACAGGGTAGGACAGGGTTGGACAGGGTTGGACAGAGTTGGACAGGGTAGGACAGGGTTGGACAGGGTTGGACAGGGTTGGACAAAGTTGGACAGAGTTGGACAGGGTTGGACAGAGTTGGACAGACTTGGACAGACTTGGACAGGGTTGGACAGAGTTGGACAGGGTTGGACAAAGTTGGACAGAGTTGGACAGGGTTGGACAGAGTTGGACAGGGTTGGACAGGGTTGGACAGAGTTGGACAGGGTAGGACAGGGTTGGACAGGGTTGGACAGAGTTGGACAGGGTTGAGCAGGGTTGGACAGGGTTGGACAGGGTTGGACAGGGTTGGACAGAGTTGGACAGGGTTGAGCAGGGTTGGACAGGGTTGGACAGGGTTGGACAGGGTTGGGCAGGGTTGGACAGAGTTGGACAGAGCGGGAAAGGGTTGGACCATTGGACAGAGTTGGACAGAGTTAAATTTTTGAGGAGGTCAAATTTAACCACTTGTATTTATTTGACGTCGTTCAACATTTTTCAATTGATTTTTAACTAAAAATTCTCATGAAGAATTATCTGAGATTACATTTTCGAAATCTATTTGAACAACAAATTATTGTGAAGTTCTGGATTGTAATAAAAGTTTATTATATTTGACTAGATCTACCAGTCAAAAATATTTTAACAAAAAAAACTAATTTACTGCCATCCTTAGAATTTTATTATTTTCATAGATTTTTTCTTCTTTTTATATTATTTTTCTTGAGAAATATTTTGTTACCTGGATTTAAATTATCCAATAATCAACATGCTTGCTATACTTCTGGTAGACATTGACAATGCTGCGACACCTTCAAAATGTTAATTTTATTGTTATTATTTACTGTGAGATGAAATGATTTTTTTGTGTGGAAAAGTTAGTCCCCTGTTTCTCAAGGATGACAATTATAAGTTAATATTCCTGCTTGTTAAGGTGCGGTGCAAGGGAACAAAGTGCAGTAGATGTGAATTAAGGTAAAAATAATTTTTTTATTTCTTTGATGATATCGTAAAACTAAAATCTCTATCAACTTCATTTTTGTTTGTTTTCTTAAATAAAGCTTTTTATCTGACATAAATAAATGAATTATATGTTATGAGTATTGCATGTTATATATTTATGTTGTCCTTAAAGGGACTGCTAATGAACTATATGTTATGAGTATTGCATGTTATATATTTATGTTGTCCTTAAAGGGACTGCTAATGAACTATATGTTATGAGTATTGCATGTTATATATTTATGTTGTCCTTAAAGGGACTGCTAATGAACTATATGTTATGAGTATTGCATGTTATATATTTATGTTGTCCTTAAAGGGACTGCTAATGAACTATATGTTATGAGTATTGCATGTTATATATTTATGTTGTCCTTAAAGGGACTGCTAATGAACTATATGTTATGAGTATTGCATGTTATATATTTATGTTGTCCTTAAAGGGACTGCTAATGAACTATATGTTATGAGTATTGCATGTTATATATTTATGTTGTCCTTAAAGGGACTGCTAATGAATTATATGTTATGAGTATTGCATGTTATATATTTATGTTGTCCTTAAAGGGACTGCTATTGTAATTTCAAGTGACTCGCCATTATCCTTACCTTTAAAGGATACATGAGTTGTCCTAGTTTGTCAAGATTAAAATTGAATAATTTCATTTTTTGTTTTGAGAAATGTTCTAAGGGTATCTCAGTGAATCGGTAATACCACTTTAAAATTGATTGCCACTTAAAATTACCTCTACAGTCCCTTTAACTAGTTTTAATTTTTAGTATTTGGGTAACTAAGTTATCAGAACACTACAGACAGGTTCATAATTGTACACCTCCGAATCCTTTCATCTGCAATCATAGAAAATATTTATTTTAAAGTTTTGTTTTTGGTGTTGTTAGAAAGTATTTTTCTTTTAAAATTGTTTTTTTCTTCTCCCTCAGCAGTATTTACAGATTGATATGTTTTTAGCCTGAGACGGAATTTAAAGAATTTGAGCCGCGGTTTAAATCCGCCAAAACCCAGTTTAAATCTGGAAACATTTGATACAATTTTAAGTGGAACCAGCAATATTTAAACCGTGGCTTAAATTTAAACCGCCGCTCAAATTCTTTAAATTCGGCCACTGGTCATTTAAATCTTTTCTAATATAAATTCAATTTTTTTCTGATGTAACCCGAGTGAAATCACATTTACTGCGCACTTTGAATCATTTGTCTTAACTTAGGAATTCACTATTTTTCCAGTTCAAAATAGAGTTTAATTTAAATTGTTTAGATGGATGTGGCAAAGGGTTTGGAAGCAATATTGCGCTTGAAATCCATAAAATCCAAATTCACGGAGGTAGTTTTTCATAATCATCCTATTTTTTTATGTTTTCAATGCAATATGCAATTCATTTTTGATTTATGTAGATAGTACAATTTTCATTTTCATTTAATTTTTGATGTTTAAAATTCTTTAGAAATTCTAAAACAACACAAAAATTTGCATAGCATCCTTAAGCTTCACTAATCGATTAAATAAATGGGTTGTCCTTAAATATTAACAAAATCCCAATGATCCATACTGGATGTAATGTAGATTTATAAAAAGTGTCTGGAGAGAGATGTAATTTAAATTGACTCCTATTGTGGAGTAGCATTTCCAGTTCACAACGGTACCATTTAAACCCTTGTCTTATCAAGGATGAATGAGATATCCTTGTCTGTTCAGCTAAAAGTTTGTTAGTTTAATTCTGGTTTCTCTATGAGAGTGACTTGCGCATTTATGCTTTGGAGGCCTAAAGGAAATTGTTTTAGATAGAAAACACCAATATCTTCCTCATTGTTAATAATATAGAGGGTTAAAGGGTAACGTTGTGAATCGGAAATGCCACTTTTAAAACGAAGGGTCGTTAAAAATACGTGAATAGCCCTTTAAGTTGCTAATGTTCAGTTGCTGCTGAGACGAAGAGTCTGAAAGAACTCCCTGCCACTGAGATTGATGCGAGTAAAATGAACAGCACAGCCGGACTCATCCATCAGTGTAAAATCTGTGATGCTAAGTTCTGGGGGCCGAACCAGCTCAATAACCATATTAGGAAACATGTCTTTCAATGGAATTTTTCGTAGATTTACAAATATTTGGTTTACAAAGTTACATAAAATACTAATCCTCATAGCTTTGTATACAGCATGAAAACAATGGATTTATAGCTAACTCTTCGAATTTTGATCTAAAACTTGTAAACATATAAAAGTTATACCCCTCCTAGGAGATAGGTGGCCGGGCTGGTTCAGGATTGATCTTATCTGTAGGGATAGGACACTACCTGCGGCAGTCTGGGGCTTCTTTCAGATCTCTTCTCTTATAATTTCTTTTAGTAATAGATCTGAAAGTACCCCCCCCCCCATATGGTCCCCATACACTTATTGTAACAATGCTAAGATATGTGAATATAAAGGAGGGATCACAATGGAGATTCTATATTTCCTGGAAACAAATACGTCAGTAAAACTCCAGGTAACAAATCAGAAAACAAAATTTGTTCGCTTCTCTTGGGAGGGGATTATTATTTATGATGAACAGATTTTTGAAAATCAATATTTTGGTAAATAAAAACTTGGTAACAGACATTTTGGTAATTTGACTATTTGGTAACTAGCAATGTGTTAACTAACAATTTGGTAAATAACAAATTGGTATCTTACATTTTGATAAGAAACAATTTGATAACCAACATTTGGTGATTTGACTAACATTTGGTAATTTACCTTTTTCGTAACTAATATTTTGGTATCCAACATATTGGTAACCATTTTTGGAAGTCTTTCAATTTGGTATTCGACATATTAGTAAAAAAATATTTGGTAACCAACAATTAACATTTTGTCAATAAATCAATGTTAGAATCAATTATTTCTCCTTCATCATTATATTGAATTTCTTATTCTTTATGAATTTGTTCGCAGATTTCTTCAAATTCTTTAAACGTCGTCTTTTCAATAAAACTTACAGGAAATCTACAGAAAATATTTGTGAACAATGAGACTTTACAGAAACCAATAACTGAATAAGACTACTAATTTTCGATAATAATTGTTAATATTTATTTTCTAAACCTATTCCTAAACAACTAATTAGTTTACTGTAGAATTTTTACTACAGTTGTTGTGACGTTATTAAATAATTTTTTTAAAACCGATTCTCAAAATCATTTTTTTAAATGAACAATTTTTCAGGATTTTAAAGATTGAATTTGCGCTCTTGCTAAACAAATATGCACCGTAATAACGTCTTATAGGTCTCAACTGATTCCTGAAAAATTCTCCACAATACTACATTCTCAGTTCAACTACCATACATTGCCGGTCACTACCTGTAATTTGTTATTTTTTTAGATGATTTTGTGTGTAAATGTTCTCTTTGTACCTTTATAACAAGAACTATGGAGGATTGTTTTGCTCATGGTAGAACAGAGCACCCACAGGCAATGTAAGACCATTTTTAAATATTTTTTAATACTTAAATTTTAAATTTTTTATTTGATAATGATGATCTATTTAAAATTTTGCAGTGAGAGCCGTTCCTTTAGAGTTCTTTACGGGTGTGCTCAGTGTGAAAAATGGTATCCGACACTTAGAATGTACAGGTTAAGAATTTAACATTGTTTAGAATATATGAAGTAGTTCAGCTAGTCCTGCTTACTTCGTCTACCTCTCTTTGACGCCAAGATCAGATTGAACTAGCTCATAAGAAGTAGCTTAACTATCATTATCTAATTAAAATTATTTTCGCTATTCATAATCTGAACCCAGATTTAGGTTCAAGTATTATTTTATTTTAGAGACCATAAGTGGTCAGAGCATTTTGACTCTGTCACTAAAACTTCAAGACAACCTGGAAACTCCTTCCAAAATAGTAGCAGCTCTCTTTCTCATAACAGCAACTCCTTTTCTCATAGCAGCAACTCCTTTTCTCATAGCAGCAGCCCTTTTCCAACTGGTAACTCCTTACCATCAAGTATTCCTTTGCCTTCCAGCCGCTCCTTGCTCCTCGGCCGCTCCTCACCGCATGGACGTTCCTTACTACATAACCACTCCTTGCCACCCAATCGCTTTCTGCCCACTGCTTCAAGTGGAATGGAAACTGTGTTAAAGAATCCGTCTGAACTCCATGCAGAGGAAATTTTGTTAGATCTACAGAAAAGAGGGATTTCAGCTTCAGTCTCTATATCAAAATCCAGTCGTTCCAATCAGCTGGATTTCGGGGCCCAGGGGGGTTACAGAGCTAACTATAGAGAGGAGCAGAAGAGCAGTGGGGGTAAGGGGAAAGTTGTTAAATGCGCAATATGTTATGAAACTATTTATGGAGACATTGCTGACCATCTAAATGTTCACAGGGTAAGTCATTTCGATTATATTTACTCATTTTTATCTGTTCTCAGTTTCTGTTCAAGTGATGGTAAATAGTCTGGATAGAAATACGCTTATATTTAGATATTTAATGGCAGAGGGGTTTTAAAACTGAGTTCATGGCTGTTATGTTTTAAACGTTCAGATAAATAACAAAAATGTTCATTAACGCCAGTTTAGACAAATGAACAAGATCTTAATTAATGTTCAGGTACAGATTAATGGCCAAGATGTTTACAAATGTCACTTTTGTCTAATGGTGGCTAAAAAACTGAAAACCCTTCTCTCCCACGTCAAGACTGAACATGTGACTGAGTACAAGCAGAAGACGACATCTAGGCTCAAGTCCTCACCGATAGACCTCACAGTAAGTAGATATATCCTACCCCTACACAATCAGAGCTGAAAACTTTAAATGGTGGATATCAAGATTAATGCTTAAACTCCTGGTTTTATTAAACCCAAGATTATTTTAAAACGCATTCGATATCCAAGAAATAAGTTAAAAATTTAACCAATCAGTGTATTACGTTAAGATGTACTCTTTTTTAAAACCGATTTTGATTTCTGGTGTTGATGGTGTCATATTAATTGAACTAAACATCGATTGAACGAACGTAAGTTTAGGATTAATGTTTATTAAAAGACTAACGTTCAAAATTACAATAGTCCTAAAATATTTTTTTAAAATAATTTCATATTTGTTTAAATGCTATAAAAGCCGGCCTCTGAGCAGCTGACTTTAATTCAATCGGATATTAGTCCAATCGATTTAGCATTTTATCTGTAATTGTTATCAAACGTAATTTTTATTCAGTAGAAATTTACAAAAAGAGGATTAAGAAGAAAATCAAAAGTGTGTGCATTGGATAATCAGATTAAGCGATCGTGATAAGGCTATCTCATTCTAAAGTTTTCAGCTCTGTGTCCGAATTTAATGAATTTAAGCGGCGTCTAAAATCCCCCAAAAGCCGGTTTCAATTGAGCGCCGGCTTAAATCTTGAAAAATGTAATACTTAAGTGGAGCAAACCATATTTGAGCCGCGACTTAAATTTAAACCGCGGCTTAAATTCTTTAAATTCGGCCTCTGATTAGATCAAGTTATCCAGAGGCCGGTCTCTTCTTGTTTTGAGGGGGTTTTAATTTTTCTTTTTGTCTTAAAGAATATTTTGTAAACTTTTCCACTTATTTTTGAGAAATCCAACAGGAATTAACTTCCTAATGGAAAAGTAAAAGTTAAGTTGAGACTGGTAAAAAGAAAAACATCTCTCAATATTCCGAACTTGTTGTATATGAAACCTCAATCAATGGAGACACTACTATAGTGAATTAAAAATGGATTGATTACTAAAAAAATTCTACATAAAGAATGATAAGATTCATATTAAAAAAGCCCTAAATAGGCAGCCTTAAAAATCGTTAAGAATAAATTGATTGTTATCATAAAATAATCTGTATTCTCCTATAATACCCTTAGAGTCGGTCCTTGGAGACAAAACAACATAAACATACACAATACTATTTCTAAGTTCAATCAGGGGAGAGAAAATGTTAAAATGTCATTCCCTGAACATTTTGTAGGACACAAGAGACCTGACTGAATGTGATACTCCTGAACCCCTGGCTGGCCCCCCTCCTCCTCCTCCTGCACGATCACCTGAAATTATAGAGATTGATTCTGATACAGATTTTCCTGAAACTGACCTGGCACAACGAAACAACTGTGATAATTATTCAAGAAATGTATACAACGATCTGTCGTCAGATTACTCGTACCACTCACCAATAAACCAACCAGTTGTTTCACCAACTAAATATCCAGATTCACCGAAGGTAGGAAATACAACGATCTGTCGTCAGATTACTCGTACCACTCACCAATAAACCAACCAGTTGTTTCACCAACTAAATATCCAGATTCACCAAAGGTAGGAAATAAAGGGATTGTTAGTGTAATTTTAAGTGACCCTCCATGCAAAGATGGCAATGAACAATACACAACGGCATCATTGAAACCTTTATCTGATAATAATGTGGAAGATAATGTTTTTCTAGGTTTAAATGTGTTTATTTTTACTTGTTTTCCTGAAGTAGAAATGCGTAAGTCAGTTTTTAAATTATGAACATTGATGTCTGATTCACACTTGATCAATCAAAGCTGTTTAAGGTACCGTTGTGAATCGAACATTGACATCTTAAGGTTCCTTTTAAGAACTAAAATAATTATTTGTTTACTAGTTAAATAAGTGAATGATGTGCTGATTGATAAATTGATTAATTGGTTCAATGATTGGTTGAATTTATGGGTCAATGATTATTTTATAGATGGCATAGTATATGTGTTGGTTGATTTGGTGGTTGGTTGGTTGATTTGATTGGTTGGTTGGTTTGTTAGTTGGTTGGTTGATTGGTTGGTTGGTTGGTTGGTTGATTGGTTGGTTGGTTGGTTGGTTGGTTGGTTGGTTGGTTGGTTGGTTGGTTGTAGTATGATTAGTTGATTAATTGATTTTGATTATTTGGTTGAATGATAGGTTGTTGATTTAGTTGTTAATTGATTGGTTGGCTGATTGGCAGATATTGATTAGTAAACTAATTAATAAATTGATTGATTATTTGATTGATCTAGGTTGTGCGGAATAAGGCAGCTATAGGAAGTGATGACGAGGGCTCTGATACTTCTGCGGAGGGTTCAGATCAGGTGAGGTGTTGTTGTTGATGTAGATACAAGATAACAGTCTTTCTTGGAAACCATTAGCAGTGAAATAGTATTGGTTTATTAAAAGTCCAACGTGACAAAACAATTAATCAAGAAAACATTACATTTTTTAGTTAGATTGTAAGTTTGCAGTTTACATAAGAATGAAACACTGATACTGATAATACTGCCTGTAGGAGAGTGAGGATGAGATGGTGAACCTGCTGACTAAGGACGGGAAGAAGAAGAAGTCCAACGTGTTCCACTGTTGGGTTTGTGACAGAAACTTTAACAAGCAGAGCACTTTCTACTCACACATTCAAGGACTCTACTCAGCAGAACCTAAGTCATCAATGAAGAAGGAAAACAATCAAAATTCAACCAAAACCATCTTTTATTTGGTTTTTAATCTTATTTACATCAAGCAGAGCGTCAAAGTAATTATAAATATAAAGTAGTAAAATCTGTTTTTGTTTTTGTTTTTTTGGATGTCTGATCCTTACTCATGAACCCCTGAACCGATTTGCCTCAAATTTTGAATGAGGAACTAGTTAAAACCACAAAAATGTTCTTAGTTTGGTTTAAAGGTCATAAGTTCAGTGGGTTGACTTTCACAGGGAAATCGCCAAGCACAGTTTGGTTCTCAAGCTTGTAATACACATGTTACGTATGTGATTATGTATGTATGTTAATTTGTGTTAAACCGTAACACTTTTAACACTTTTTGAGTTTAATGGGTTGCAGGGGTTGATGAGCCAGCTTTGAGCCATAAAGAGCCAGAGCTGCCGACCATAGTAGTGTTGAATGAAATGTATTGTTCGATCCGATCCTGTCCCCTTTTAGGACTGAGTCCTAGAGTCTACGTACTTTTTAGTCATAGTTTTTATTTTTTTTACACTTAAAATCAAAAGTTTTCCTCTCTATATAATAAAGGATTGGTGGCAAGGCCGGGCATTTTTCGGTGCTTTGTTTATTTTTTTTTAAACCAATTTGATTGATGGGTTTATAGAAACCTGAGCTACACTGTAACAAATGTCCGTTCAAAGTTGCAAACGTGAAGAAGTTTGATCTTCATCTTCAAGAAGTTCATAAAGGTGATCAGGGTTTTAAAAGGGTTAGAATTATATTAGTTTTTTAAAAATTAATCTTGATTAATTTTTGTCTTTGTTTTGTAATACTCACAAAAAAAGCATATCTAAAATTATATTTTCTCTCTAAGGATACAGACTTGTTGCAATAATTTTTCCATTTAGTTATTTTAAATGTTTTAGTAATGGTGAAGACGTGTTTGACCTGTCCTGAGTTTAAAACAAGTTTATCCTACGTATTCGGACACCATTTCAAGTTCAGCAAACTCAGCCATAAACTCAAGAATAATAGGGTAAATCATCATGAATATTAATATTAATATTAAAAAAAATTATGTTAGTTTTAATTTCCATTAACATGAAAGAAACGAGGAAACTTTGAACTTATTTTTAAATGAGCTCTGTGCTGAGGGGTTTCGTTTGAAGTGTCTGTATTATATCACCATTTCAGCAAACAATTATGTATTTAAATATTTATCAGCCTCTGTATTATATCCCCATTTCAGCAAACAATTATGTATTTAAATATATATCCGCCTCTGTATTATATCAACATTTCAGCAAACAATTATGTATTTAAATATATATCAGCCTCCGTATAATATCACCATTTCAGCAAACAATTATGTATTTAAATATATATCAGCCTCTGTATTATATCCCCATTTCAGCAAACAATTATGTATTTAAATATATATCAGCCTCTGTATTATATCAACATTTCAGCAAACAATTATGTATTTAAATATATATTATCCTCTGTATTATATCAACATTTCAGCAAACAATTATGTATTTAAATATATATCATCCTCTGTATTATATCAACATTTCAGCAAACAATTATGTATTTAAATATATATCATCCTCTGTATTATATCAACATTTCAGCAAACAATTATGTATTTAAATATATATCAGCCTCTGTATACATTTCAGCAAACAATTATGTATTTAAATATATATCAGCCTCTGTATTATTTCACCATTTTAGCAAACAATTCTGTATTGGTATATATGCTGACCAATGTATGATAAGAAGACTTCAATAATTCCACTGAATCTTTGTTAGCTGGAATATTTTGTAGGTTGAGTGTATGTTCTGTGGGTTAGAGCTGGCTCAGCTCAAGAGTATGAAGGGTCATCTCTTCTCCAGGCACAACGTGAGACCCAAGAACCTCGACGATTTAGTCTTCTTTGTCAAAAATACTTGAATTGTCTGGTTGGATCCAGTCTAGATCAGATGTGTCAGGTCTAGATTAGCTGAATCCGGTTTGGACCTACATGTACAGTGTACGGACACTGTACATAAGATACAGGACTCAAAATAAGATCATTATAAACACCTAATATTCTTGTAATACAAAATCAAGACCTATGAATTATTTTTTCTGTTCCAAATTATATTGTAATTACAGTGTATAGTTGCACTCAAGGGCAAATCTTTTCCTGGGTTAGGTAACAGAATTATGAGATAATATAACGTAAATTCAATCAGGCTCTTTATCTATGTTATGTTTTAAAGTTAAAGAAAAAAAAATGGAAAAAGCAGCAATCCTTGACAATTACTAAAATGAATTATACTAAAAGTACATTTCAGGAAATATGTTTGTTTTTATCATGTTTTGTTTCACTATGCAGTACACTTGTCCAAGATGCAGGACGCACATTAAAGTTGTTTTTTAACATCTCAGCATTAATCAAAAATTACTCAACAAGTGCCCATTACTCATTACTCGGTATATAAGTTTTTACAGCATACCCTTTTTTAATCCTTATACTTCACCCATTAGTATTTTCAAGCAGAAACTTAAAATTTGTCAAATCATCAAACTGGCTAAATATTGTCTTGAAAGTGTAATCATGTTATTAAGATGATATTTAATTCAATTTATGCCTATTTTTTTATACTTATTAACCCTTTCCCTTAGTTTTTATTAATTATAAAAAGTAAGTAAGCTGGCGGCCAAATATGATATTTTTTGAGTTTTAATCTTACGTTATTTTAACGAATTTACTATATCAAAATGTCCTTTTTTATATAATAAGAAAATTGTTTATTGTGAATTTTATCAAAATGAATGCAAAGATTTAGAAAGAATTAATTTCTGATGCCTGAACAATTATGTTTCTACATTTATAAAATGAATTTGAAATTGACATTGTATGTCCTTTAAAGTGAACGAGGAATATATCAACGTTAAAAACTAAGTTGTCTAGATACAAAATTTAGTTATCTCCAGTTATTCAGTGTTTTGAATCCAGATCAAGATTTTTCCATTTTCAAAGAATTTACATTAGAAACATCGGATAGAAATAAAAATATTACCAATCAATACATGGTTCAATTATAATTCAAGTAAATTTTTATGCGAGATTAAAATTTTACATGTTTTCAATCGTAATTCCTCTGAGCTGAAAACTTTAGAGTGGAAGATGCTATATCGTTTGCACTAATGTCCGATTGAACTAACGTACTTTTGCACTAAAGTCAGCTGATCAGTAACACTTGTGGCCGCAACGCCCGGCCCCCTAGCCTGTCCTAGTCGCGGCGCTCGGCCCCCTAGCCTGTCCTAGCCACAGTGCTCGGCCCAGAAATTGTCTTAACCTAACCTAACCCTAAATGTTAGTCCGAATGAACGTTAGTGCGAATGTACGTTATTCCGATCAATCATTAGTGCAAACGATACGACACCGAATGGGACATCCTTAATCCCGATAGGTAAATTAATCTGGAGATTAATAAAAAGAGGAGAACAAGCATTATTTAATCTGAATATTAAGAAAAGAGGAGATCAAGAATTGATCTCGATATCCACTATTCTAAAGTTTCCAGCTCTGTTCTATGAAGAAAAAGTTATGAATTTCTAATGTACAAGCAAACTAATTTGCTTCTCTCATACTTGGGCGTAAAATCAAAACTTGGGGAGCTACAAGGTTATAAAGTTGTAAAAGTAATTTCGCACAAATTTGACTTTATCGTAATGTTTGGATTCAAAGGATTTAAAACACTGTTTGAACTGATTGCAAATCTCCACCGATGTTTATTTTTATATTTCTATATTTATGCATATACCAAGTAGGATGAGACATGAGTGTAACACTGTTGCAGAAAAATGTCGGTTCACGGATTCCCATCTGACAGTTAAACTGGATACCATTTACTTCCAAGGATTGACGTGAATATAATGGTAAGTGTTTTATCGATAATAATATTTATTTTTAATTAAAGAATTTTTTCTTTCTTAAATTCTGCTAGATCACTTTTACTTAAGCTAAAAGTTTTCCAATGACGTTTGAAGCTTTCGAGGAAAAGATTAAAAGTTTGGCATCTACCTGACGTCTTTTATTGTTGTTGCTTTTTGTTACCCTAAAATTAATGTTTTTACCTTTGGGGAATTGAAAACCTTAAAAATGAATCCAAAGTTCACCGAATATTATTTTAGCAAGAATTTTGTTTAAGTTACAAGATTTTTCGTCCACAGATTTTAGCCAGAATTTTGCAATTTGCATGCTTAATGCTTATTGATTTTTATGCAAGATGTCTGATTTGCTAATATTTTAGCAAGAATTCTGCAAGATGAGGTTGGTTGAGTCTGTTGTTCGAACGATGCGTGTAGCTAAGGTCTACACTGACAACCAGGTAACAAATAAAGGAAATATATTACTAAAAACAATTTGGAAAATAAATAAAAAAAAACTTGTAAAAGACAATTTGAAACTTTAGACATGGTAAAATAATAATAGAAAAGGGTAGTTAGATCAATGGACATTTTCATTTGAAATCAGGAGATTCAGTTTAATATTTAACCTGTGTTTACTGTTTACTTCTGTATGTAATATCAAGGATGATAGGAGGATGATAGGATGATGGGATGAGGATGAGATGAGGATGATAAGAGGATGATGGGAGGATGACAAGAGGATGATAGGAGGATGATTGGAGGATGATATGAGGATGATATGAGGATGATAAGAGAATGATAGGAGGATAATAGATGGATGATTGGAGGATGGAAAGAGGATGGAAAGAGGATGATAGGAGGATGGAAAGAGGATGATAGGAGGATGGAAATAGGATGTAAAGAGGATGTAAAGAGGATGGAAAGAGGATGATAGGAGGATGATAGGAGAATGGAATGAGGATGAAATGAGGATGAAATGAGGATGAAATGAGGATGAAATGAGGATGGAATGAGGATGGAATGAGAATGAAATGAGGATGAAATGAGGATGGAAAGAGGATGAAATGAGGATGGAATGAGGATGAAATGAGGATGAAATGAGGATGAAATGAGGATGAAATGAGGATGAAATGAGGATGAAATGAGGATGAAATGAGGATGAAATGAGGATGGAATGAGGATGGAATGAGGATGGAATGAGGATGAAATGAGGATGAAATGAGGATGAAATGAGGATGGAATGAGGACTAAATGAGGATGAAATGAGAATGAAATAAGGATGGAAGTAGGATCGAACTATCATGTAAGATTTCTCCTCTAACTAATTATATATTCAGGACACGATCACGAACATGAACTTCAGCAGTGATGGTATGAGTCTAATAACTAGCAGTGCTGATGATCAGATTATTATCTATGATTGTGAAAAGGGAACTCAGAAACGAACCATTAACAGGTAACAGTATTGTCATCGGCATCGTTTTCATCTGTTTTCTAAAACATTAAATTCGTGAAGGCCAACTTGGGTACAAAGCTTCAATAGACATTTTTTAAAACGTGATCTAGTTTAATGCATATTATTACATATTTTTCCCTCCTATTTCTTGCTCCTTACCTATTTTCTACAGAATGTTTGCCTTTTTGTGCTTTTAAAATTACTAGAGATATATTGGAAATTCTCTATATTGTCAATATATGCAATAAAATCAAATTCTCTATGTTGTCAATATATGGAATAAAATCAAATTCTCTATGTTGTCAATATATGGAATAAAATCAAATTCTCTATGTTGTCAATATATGGAATAAAATCAAATTCTCTATGTTGTCAATATATGCAATAAAATCAAATTCTCTATGTTGTCAATATATGGAATAAAATCAAATTCTCTATGTTGTCAATATATGTTCTCTATGTTGTCAATATATGCAATAAAATTAAATTCTCTATGTTGTCAATATATGGAATAAAATCAAATTGTCTAAATCTGAACTACAGTGAATCCCAGATATATGAATACATAGACCATCATAAGTTTTTGATAATTCTAAAGAAACTTCTATTTATTTTTAATTCAAGGTAAATTATTAGCCCTGAAATATCAATGCAATTGATATATTAATATTAAACTCATTTTCCGCGGCATTTGATCTTAAATATGTAATATACGACATTATAAAAAATTATGTATTCATATATCTGGGATTCACTGTATATTCTTCACTTGGAAAGCACAAACGCAGCAGACTACATTGTGGAAAGGCCAGGACTACAAGGATATTTTGTTATCATTGTCAGAAGAATTTGACTTTTTTTAGTTGACCAAAAATTGCCGAAAATTATTTCTAAGATCAAAAACAATTTTCAAGTCCTTATTCTCAAATGCTTCGTTTTGGAGTACACTATGTACTTTCCATACATGTTAACAACAATAACATAAATCAAAATTTTTAATAAAAATGTTTTATGTATTTCCTGTGAGAAAATCATCTAAATATAAAAAAACTATAAAATCTTCATTTCTGTGTTCAGTAAGAAGTACGGAGTGGATTTGGTTCAGTTTTGTTCAAACAAATCCCAGGCTGTGCACGCTAGCACCAAAGAAAACGATGTTATCAGGTCAATTATTGTTTTACACTGGGGGGGGCTGGGGGGGGGGGGTGTCACCATTTCTATTTCAATCTGAAGAATTGTTTGGACTTGTATTATTATTTTAACAAACAGTAATCGCAAACATTTATAAAATACTAAGACAGGTTTATATCAATTATTGTAGTTAAATAGCTCAATTAACACGGCAACTGTACATTGTATGTACAGCCACTAACTATTGATTATGTTAAGGTATATCTCTCTAAATGAGAACAAATATATCTGATATTTGTGTAACTGTACAGTGAACAGTGTACAGTGTACAGCACTAACTATTGATTATGTTAAGGTATATCTCTCTAAATGAGAACAGATATATCTGATATTTGTGTAACTGTACAGTGTACAGTGTACAGTGTATAGTGTACAGTGTACAGCACTAACTATTAATTATGTTTAGGTATATCTCTCTAAATGAGAACAAATATATCTGATATTTGTGTAACTGTACAGTGTACAGTGTACAGTGTACAGTGTACAGCACTAACTATTAATTATGTTTAGGTATATCTTTCTAACTGAGAACAAGTATATCCGATATTTTGGTGGACACACTAAGCGTGTTGTTACCCTCTGTATATCTCTCTAACTGATATCTGATAATTGTTACCCTCTGTATATCTCTCTAACTGAGAACAAGTATATCTGATATCTGTGTAACTGTACAGTGTACAGTGTACAGCACTAACTATTAATTATGTTTAGGTATATCTCTCTAACTGAGAACAAATATATCCGATATTTGTGTAACTGTACAGTGAACAGTGTACAGTGTACAGCACTAACTATTAATTATGTTTAGGTATATCTCTCTAACTGAGAACAAATATATCCGATATCTGTGTAACTGTACCGTGTACAGTGTACAGTCTACAGCCACTAACTATAAATTATGTTTAGGTATATCTCTCTAACTGAGAACAACTATATCCGATATTTGTGTAACTGTACAGTGTACAGTGTACAGCCACTAACAATTAATTATGTTTATATATATCTCTCTAAATGAGAACAAGTATATCCGATATTTGTGTAACTGTACAGTGTACAGTGTACAGCACTAACTATTAATTATGTTTAGGTATATCTCTCTAACTGAGAACAAGTATATCTGATATCTGTTTAACTGTACAATGTACAGTGTACAGTGTACAGTGTACAGTGTACAGTGTACAGTATCTCTCTAACTGAGAACAAGTATATCTGATATCTGTTTAACTGTACAGTGTACAGTGTACAGTGTACAGTGTACAGTGTACAGTGTACAGCCACTAACTATTGATTATGTTTAGGTATATCTCTCTAACTGAGAACAAGTTTATCCGATATTTGTGTAACTGTACAGTGTACAGTGTACAGTGTACAGTGTACAGCCACTAACTATTAATTATGTTTAGGTATATCTCTCTAACTGAGAACAACTATATCCGATATTTGTGTAACTGTACAGTGTACAGTGTACAGTGCACAGTGTACAGTGTACAGTGTAAAGTGTACAGTGTACAGTGTAAAGTGTACAGTGTAAAGTGTACAGTGTACAGCCACTAACTATAAATTATGTTTGGGTATATCTCTCTAACTGAGAACAACTATATCCGATATTTGTGTAACTGTACAGTGTACAGTGTACAGTAAACAGCCACTAACTATTAATTATGTTTAGGTATATCTCTCTAACTGAGAACAAGTATATCCGATATTTTGGTGGACACACTAAGCGTGTGGTTACCCTCTGTATGAACCCAACCGATGAAACTTTTCTCTCAGGAACATTGATTTATTCACATTTTATCATTTGGATATTTTAATTTAAATATATAAAAAAGTTGTTCTTATTCATAAATTTTATACTTCATTTTTGATAAGATAATAATAAATTCATAAAAAGTTACAATTTTTTAATTTTCTCTTCAATTACTCTTCTAATTTATTAAAATGAATGTTTAATCAGGATCCATGGACAAAACAATACGACTCTGGGACCTCAGGAACACAATTGTCATCGTTTGCTTATTTTGTAAATTACATTTACTATTCTTATATCATCATTATCATCATTATCATCTTTCTCGAATACTATGTAAAACTATAGAATAGTTTTCCTTCGCAAAACTTATCCTTCTATAGTTTTCCTTGATTGTCATCATTATCATCATTATCATCATTATCATCATTATAATTATTATTATCATTATTATCATCATTATCATTATCATCATTAACATCATTATCATCATTATCATCATTATCATTATCATCATTATCATCATTATTATCACTATTATTATTGTGAGTATTTTTTTTATCCATGACAATAATTTTACCGTGAAGGTCAAACAACTGCCAGGGTTTGATGAACCTGGCCGGTCGACCTGTTGCCGCCTTCGACCCTGACGGACTCATATTCGCTGCAGGGGTCAACTCAGAACATGTTAAACTTTATGATCTCAGGTACCTGGAGGAGGGGGAAGGAGGGGGATTAAGATTAGGGGGCGGGAAGGAAGTGAATTAAGATTAGGGGGCAGGAAGGAAGTGATGGGAGGAAGGAGGAAAACTGGATTTCTGTAACTCATATTTATCGAATTTATTTTAGTTAGTTTAGTTGAGTGTCTGTAAATATCTGCTGATTGATTTGTGATAATTGATTTTTGATTGATTGATTTTTCAGGTCCTTCGACAAGGGACCGTTTGCCTCGTTTAAGCCTGAAGCTAAGAGTAAGGAGTGTGAGTGGACCGGACTTAAGTTTAGTCCGGATGGAAAGTCTATCCTTATCTCTACCAACGGTTCAGACATTAAACTTATTGATTCTTTTCAGGTAATTTTATCCACAAATTAAGTGTTTATACATAGCTTGGGACCCTACTCAACATACAATATACATAGCTTGGGACCCTACTCAACACACAATATACATAGCTTGGGATCCTACTCAACATACAATATACATAGCTTTGGACCCTACTCAACATACAATTGTATCCTCAAATTAAGTGTTTATACATAGCTTGAGACCCTACTCAACATTCAATTTTATCTTCAAATTAAGTGTTTATACATAGCTTGGGACCCTACTCAACATACAATATACATAGCTTGGGACCCTACTCAACATACAATATACATAGCTTGGGACTCTACTCAACATATAATATACATAGCTTGGGACCCTACTCAACATATAATATACATAGACAAAATTTCCCATGAAAATCTGGGGATCTCCAATGAAAATTTGAGGGTCTCCAACAAGAATATGGGGGTCTCCAACGAAAATATGGGGTTTCCAACGAGAATCTGGGGGTCTTCAACGAAATATGGGGATCTCCAACGAGAATCTTGGGTTCTCCAACGAAACGTTCTTGGGGGTCTCCATTCTCCAATGAGAGGGGGTCCCAATAGTACTCCAATTATGATGATTTCTCCCTTGAGTCTAAAAGGACGCATAGAGAAAGCAAAAATAATAATAATAAAAAATAGAGATAAATAACTAAACAGCTACTCCTGGAGCTATGAACCAACTCAGCTACCATCTTCAACCTACTCGTAGATATTCTGAACGTCAGTTCTCTACAGGTTGAATCTATGCTCGTCTAGCCTTAACTACAACTGATCTCTTCAAATGGCCACTGCTCTATGCTTAGGGGGGACTTCTGTATCTAGGATGAAATCCCCTAAAGAGGATTATGAAAGCCGCAAATCAGTAGCGTCGGATCCTGGAACCAGAGAAGACCTACTCATCTTCTTCTCTTAAATACACTCGTTATTTATCATTTATTTATTTATATCTAGAAGCAAAGTTCTATAATCATGAAAATTAATATAAAACCTGAAATTAAGGGGAACGCTCTGCAGACCTTGAATGGACACCTGAACACTAAACAGTTACCACTAGAGGCTTCTTTCTCCCCAGACTCCCAGTTTATTATCTCTGGTTCTACGGACGGAAGGATTCACATCTGGAATACAGAAAACGGTCAGAAGGTCAGTTAATTTTTTTCTAACTCTGCCCAGTGCCTAGGATCTGGATCCGTTGGATCCACAATATTTTGGCTTCTTGGATCCGGATTCACAAAAAAGAGCAAGTTTTTTATTTAATATTAATTTTTAATATAATGTGTTTTGGTCTAGGTTTGCTCCTTGAACGGTGATCACAAGAACCCTGTTCAGTGTGTACAGTTCAGCCCGAGGCACATGATGATGGCTAGTGCTTGTCAGGCAGATTATCAGCTCATTATTATTTTATTTTTTAAACAAGGGCGTAACTTGGTTATTTTATTATTTTCTGGTTTCTCTTGGTTGCATTTCTTAGAAAATAAAAATGTTCAAGCTGTTTTGTTTTGTTTGTTGACTCTGAAGGGGATTAAATGATGAATTATTAGTTATTGATAAAATGCATTTCTTGTTTCCTTTTCAAATATGATATCTTAGAATCTTCCACCTCCCATGTATTGACTTACATACATTATCAATTATCCTTTTAACATTTTTATTGTGTTGAATAATATTCAAATACATATTATGAGCTGACCCATGGCTGTCTAGATGATGTGTTTATGGTTACCGAGTTCCGACGAGGACGAAGATTAATTCCTCCTCTGTACTTCACACGTTGTACGCGCTTCTTATCAGAATGCTCGTTTTTGAATGCGCGATGCGCTCGTTCTTGTTGTGATTTTGTAAAACCTTAGTCAACCCATAGTGTTAAGGGTCTTTAATGTTTTCTCAAGAACCAATGCTGTTGTCATTTTTATATTTATTTTATTTAAACCTCTACACAAGTCTACATTTTACAATATAATTAAATAATGTAATTGTACAGTATTCAATCCGTACAGCGCCATTTTTGGTTACTAGGAACCTTGTGTACAAGGTTGAAAACGTACTTACTGCAGTACAATGTACAGTGTACTGCTGTATAATTTCAGAAAAAAAATGTCTTTCATTTAATTTTACTTCTGCACCAGTTCAGCTTGTTATTAACAGCTTTTCCCTCCGTCTTCTCATTTTTTAAATAACAATTCTCTCTTACAAACTGTCAAAACTTATATTACTCTCCCCAGTCCCACCAGTTCTCTGAACACTTAATACTTTACCTACTGAAAATACCGCCCCCTTTGTCTGAACAAAAAGAAAAATGGCATCAGCAGACCGAAAAATACGGGAAAAGATTACAATGTTGTAAGTAACTAGTATTTCATGGACGTCGTTACCATTTTATAAGTTTTAAAGTTTGTTTTCTAACATCTGTTCAATAGTATTTAATGACCTAAGGCTGCCAAAGTATAGTTTTGGAGGAAAAAGAAATTATAAAATAATGAAGTAAATGATTTTATTGCACTCTACGCACAATCTTTCGGTTTGTTTTAAATTCTTCTGTAATGTTCAAAACATAGATTTGTGGCATTAATCCAACATTTCTCTGAACTCTAGATGTAAGGATTTATGTACACTGACATTAATGTTTGTACATGAATGTGCAGATCTAATGGGTGTAATATTTTTAAACTTCCGTACTTCAGTCGCAAAGCGAATAATTAAAAAATTACAAAAACCGAAAATCCGCTTTTTCCTAATGATAAAATAAGAAAAATGTATTCAAATTATGCTCTGTTAGATCTGTTAAAAATGTCTGTCTCTCGGCTGTTTAGTTTATAAGATATATTGCTCAAAACAGAATATAATTAGCAATATCCGTGGGCGCTGCAGTTCAGATTAATCGGAAATATCAATTTTTATTATAAATCTTTCAGTTTAACAATTATATTTGAGCTTGAAACTCTCCCTAATAAAGTTAGATTTATGAACTTGAACAGAAACTGCAGTGCTGTATCAAAACATGGGGATTTTTCAAGTAATTTTCATTTCAATTAAATTTATTAATCATTGCTTTCTAAAGAATAGTTTTATCGCACATCAAGAAACGCTCCCTAATATAGTTTGATTTATTAACCTGAACAGAAACTGCAGTGCTGTATTAAAATGGTGGTTTTTTATCTCAATTAATTTTATCATTTTAATTTTTTATCATGCTTTCTAAAAAATAGTTATATTGCACATTGAGATGATTTTTACTTCTCTGAAAATTGAATCTTTATCTTTCAACAACGATTAAATGAATTTGTTTCACCCCATGCACAAAATCAACCATATGTTTATTCAATAATTATAAAAGCTTAAGCTGCATTTAAATTTATCTTAGTACAATAGTTTTTATGTTTACTTTTTGATAAATAACCATTTTCAAGAAGAATCAATGCTTCGTCTTTTCTTGTTTGGCTATTTACTTCTCCAGGTTTAACAGATTTTCTTAATTAAAGAGTGATATGTAATTGTGATTTTATGTAGTAAATATCCGCTAATAACTTTTCAAGCTATCAAAACATAAATTATTTAATCTGAACATATAATATAAAACATTTGGCACAGATTTCATCAGAGCTTCTAAAGGATATAATCCTTTAGAAATCCGTAGAATATTGAAAAATCTCATTTAAAATATGATTTGTCGTTTGTTAACATTTACTGAAGTGCAGTTTTGACTCCCCCAGCCCTCTTGCTTGTAGTCAACTTGAATTGTTTTAGAAAACATGTTTCTCACAGCTGGGTTCAGAGTTCAACATTTTGTACTCAGGTAACAGTTTAGAACACATGTTTCTCACAGTTGGGTTTAGGATTCAACATTGTGTACTCAGGTAACAGTTTAGAAAACATGTTTCTCACAGCTGGGTTCAGGATTCAACATTGTGTAACAGATAACAGTTTAGAAAACATGTTTCTCACAGCTGGGTTCAGGATTCAACATTGTGTAACAGATAACAGTTTAGAAAACATGTTTCTCACAGCTGGGTTCAGGATTCAACATTGTGTACTCAGGTAACAGTTTAGAAAACATGTTTCGGGGTTCAGGATTCAACATTGTGTACTCAGGTAACAGTTTAGAAAACATGTTTCGCACAGCTGGATCCAGAATTCAAAACTGTGTACACTGTACTCAGGTAACAGTTTACAAAACATGTTTCGCACAGCTAGGTTCAGAAATCAATACTGTGTACTCAGGTAACAGTTTAGAGAAGACACTAGTCATCTCAAAGATGTCCCTGAGCGGAATAATCGATCTTTTCTGTAAAAATCACTTTTGCTTTTTCCCAGAAAATATTGTTTTACATTTTAATTGTTGAATTTGAAAATCAACATTGTTGCATATTTTAGTCCATTGTATGTAAAATACTAAAATCATTCTCCAACTTCAAAATAAAATCAGCTGTTTTGACTAAAACTCGATGGTGACTTTGACAGAAAGTATCTCTATGGCTGACGACTTTTAACGGTAAAATAGGGTAAAATCTGTGTTGTAACTAGTTTGTACCAAAAGTTGGGGGATAAATATATTTTCCAATAAGTAAACCTTTTAATGTGGAAGAACGGTATTATTTTATTAAATGCATGGTTGTCCTTTGATAATAATAAAGATAATAATATTCTGTTTTTTTTATAGACACAAGCATCTACGCGATTTTTCAACAATTCTTTGCAGTTCTATCTTTGAAACCCCTCCGATGGAACACAGAAATCTTGATAGATTGGCATTTTCATCAAATATAAACTACAGGCATGCTTAAATAAACATAATAACAATATATTAATTATGAAATGAAAATATTTTTATGTCAAATTTATCAAAGTAAATAGTATTTACTTTTGACTATTTTTTTCATAAGTTTGACCCTTCAAATGAATCCATATTTGTGCCCAAATCTTGTCATTTTATGACTTTAATATTCACGACGTTGTGATTCCAAATGTTTTCCTGTATTACCATTAATATTTTTTTCTTAGATCTATATAATATATAACAATTTAACGCGAAAATTCACTCACGACAACTTCATTTAATAATATAAGTGAATACAAAAAATGTTGGCTTTTTTATTATATTTTTTCATATATATTTTTTATTTTTCATAATATTTCAATTCATTGTTTATATATGATATTTTAGTAATCCATAGTTTTCACATGAATGTGTAATGCTTTCATCTAATAATTTTGTCGCAAATCCATATTTAGCATGTAGCCAGGCGAGGGTTATGTCTAAGAACTCTAAATCCATATTTAGCATGTAGCCAGGCGAGGTTTATGTCTAAGAACTCTAAATTCATATTTAGCACGTAGCCAGGCGAGGTTTATGTCTAAGAACTCAAAATCCACGAAGAAACAGAAGAATGTGGTGGATAAAATAGTCGAGGATTTAGTGTAAGTAATTTATTTTTAAGCAAATATATGTATATATATATTTATATTTATATTTATATTTATATTTATATTTATATTTATATTTATATTTATATTTATATTTTCAAATTTATATATAGATATAAATATAAATATAAATATAAATATAAATATAAATATAAATATAAATATAAATATATTTTAAGGTGTAATTTATGAGTAAGAGCGAAAAATCGATTATTTTTGCTACATTTTTCTTCATCGTCAAAAAAACATTTCTTAAATTCTAAAGTTTTATTTTTTGGTCTTACTTAAAAACTATACAACCTGAAAACGTCTTATTGGTATCAAATGAATTTAAAATTAATTTTTTCCTTATAATACTGCATTCTCAGCTTGACTATCATGTCTAGCCGGTCACTCCGTTTAAAAATTTCCAAGGCGCTGCCTGCATAGTGCATATATTGTATTTTTTTTGTAATCCAAGAATATAAAAAGATGGTTGCTTGTATTGAGGATTAGTTAAAAACGCAATAACTGTCAGAATTAAGCCATTTTTCTTTGAATTACCACTCTTAGCGTAGAAATATTAAATGTTTCTCTTTGTTTAGAGCAAGAATCATCAATTAAACTATAATATAAGATTGGTCAATGACAATTGGTCCAAAGTTCTGATTTAAACTGTACAATTATACGTTAGAATAAACAAAATTGAAAACTAGGCTTTTTATTTTTATCAAAACTCAGAAAGGTATAATCAGGCGTACAACTTCTTGTCGCGTAGATTATCCATCTTCTTCAGACAAATATTTGTTTGTTCAGAGATGATGAAGATGAAGATAGTGATGACGGAGTGATTGTTGATCAACAGAATTCACAATTAAATAAATTTCTCTCTTCTAAAACTCCTGGAGGGGGTAAAAAGGGAACTAAAGGTACAGTTTGTACTTATTCATATGATTTTACATCAGAACTTTATAAAAGTATATATTTAAAAAAATTAAAAAATGTCAAATAAGCATGTGTATATTATATTTACAGAATTAAAAAAACAAAGAAATCTAACATGTTTCGAATTGTATTATTATTATTATTTCAGTTTTATTTTAAATAAATGCTTTCTTGTCTTCTTTTTATAATTAGATTAACAAACACAACGAGAATTACATTTCAAACTTATTTTTTTAGGAAATATTCACAAAATGCCTTACTCGGAATTTATAGAAATAGTTAAAGGTAAGGCTAGTTTATCATTGTTTAAAGTTACTCTTCACAGTGTATGCATGGTTTGATTATTAGTGATTAAAGTACACCATATAGATAATTGATATTTTTTATTATCTATTACTATTTTTTCATAATATCTGCCAATGTTAAAGGTAGGTTCGCCTTCGTAGGATCTGGTTCAGGCCTAGGGACAGGCACAGGATTAGGTTCAGGTTCAGGTTCAGGTTCAGAGTGAGGATGAAGTTTAGTTTGAGGTTCAGTTTTAGGTTCCGTATAGCTCATGAATAGGAGATGATAATAAAGATTGAGAGCGTGCCTTTCCCTTCTCTTGGGCAGTTAAAGTTGAGGTTTCTTCAACACTTGGCGAAATCACACAAACAATCTTAGGAGCCTTGGACCCTTCCTTGGACTGGGGGCCTCTCATGGACCANACTCTCTATTATGCAGTAGAATTACTCTCTATTATGCAGTAGAATTACTCTCTATTATGCAGTAGAATTACTCTCTATTATGCAGTAGAATTACTCTCTATTATGCAGTAGAATTACTCTCTATTATGCAGTAGAATTACTCTCTATTATGCAGTAGAATTACTCTCTATTATGCAGTAGAATTACTCTCTATTATGCAGTAGAATTACTCTCTATTATGCAGTAGAATTACTCTCTATTATGCAGTAGAATTACTCTCTATTATGCAGTAGAATTACTCTCTATTATGCAGTAGAATTACTCTCTATTATGCAGTAGAATTACTCTCTATTATGCAGTAGAATTACTCTCTATTATGCAGTAGAATTACTCTCTATTATGCAGTAGAATTACTCTCTATTATGCAGTAGAATTACTCTCTATTATGCAGTAGAATTACTCTCTATTATGCAGTAGAATTACTCTCTATTATGCAGTAGAATTACTCTCTATTATGCAGTAGAATTACTCTCTATTATGCAGTAGAATTACTCTCTATTATGCAGTAGAATTACTCTCTATTATGCAGTAGAATTACTCTCTATTATGCAGTAGAATTACTCTATTATGCAGTAGAATTACTCACTATTATGCAGTTCCATGTCCGATTCACAGCAGAACCCTTAATAGCTTTCTATGATCAAGAACGATTGAGATATTGATGATTTTAACTTTATTATTGATGTAAGATAAACGACATTATTTATCAGATAACAGTTATAAGGGTAAAATTGTGAATCTGACATGCCAGTTTTCAAATGAAGGTTCACTTGAAATAATCTCATTATTCCATTCATTTATCAATCATCAGGTTGATAATTGACGTCTCTGCTTTTCCTCAGGCAGTCAAGAATGTGATGACCGCAATAAGAGACTCAGGTAGAGAAATAAACATTTTACCATTTAAAAACCAAGTTTTTAAAATATTTGAAAATAGTAACAACAGCAATCCTCAGATAGGAAGCAGTTACAGGGTTCTTTTCAATAAAACCCATACAAAAAGTTTACAAGTTGTGTCCATAGGTAGGCTTGTGAATATAATCAGCAAGTTTCTTTAGATGTTTATTTTCAATCTTCCTCATGTACACGATACATACAAAATAGTTTAGATATATAACTTGATAAATATGCATACACTTATGCATACAATCTAAATGTTATTTAAGGTTTACAAACTATTGCCTTTTATATTGATTAATTTATCTTGGAAAAAACATTCCTACACCTCTGATATGCGTGGAGTTCAAATCGAAACTACCTGCTTTCTATAGTTAGACAAACAGTAATGTCGTCTTCTATAAATATATCAAGGCTAAACAGGCCCTCAGAGTAAAGAGTAAAATCCCAGTAAATTTTAAAATACAAATTTCGAGGTGTTTGAATATGTGCAATGATTTATTTTACTATGTTACCTTTCAAAGCTTTAACATGGATGTACAATAATTACATTGTGAAATATACTTATTGCATGTCTGCATTAAAACGATAATATGAATTGATATACGCCAAAGAGAACTGCAAATGGTACTAGTTGCTAGCACAATATTGAAAATATAAGAAATTTAATGATGTTTTTGGTTAATGAAATATACTATTGTTTAGGATTAAACTTGAATCCGCAGCAAGAAGGATTTACAATCTATGTACCTATTCCAAAAGTAAGTAAAATTATTTCTTATAATAAGACACGTAATTGTGTCACAATAAACAAAGACTTATCACATTTTGGGCTCTTTTTTGTTCATATTTTGTCAGTAAAATATTATTAAAATTGTGAAAGATAAAGAATTCTTGCCCCAAAATCGGGTGTACTTTTTTATCCGAAGGATATTTTTTATTCTTTCCTGGTTAAATTTTTAGAAAATTTTATTTTATTTTATGCGTTTTGTTGTGTTCTCAATTTTGTAAACTGTACAGTGTACACTGTACAGAACGCTGCATATTTAAATTATAAAATTACAAAATACCGTAAAGAAGAGAATGGAGCTTGAGGTGTTATAGAATAAATTAGTTTAAATTTTATTTCTTGTTGTTGCTAGGTTACAAGGGAGCATAGAAAACATCTAGCGGAGGGAGCCAAGAAGAAACTATATTTTATTTCTTGCTGTTGGTAGGTTACAAGGGAGCATAGAGAACATCTAACGGAGGGAGCCAAGAAGAAACTATATTTTATTTCTTGTTTTTGGTAGGTTACAAGGGAGCATAGAGAACATCTAGCGGAGGGAGCCAAGAAGAAACTATATTTTGTTTCTTGTTTTTGGTAGGTTACAAGGGAGCATAGAAAACATCTAGCGGAGGGAGCCAAGAAGAAACTGTATTTTATTTCTTGTTTTTGGTAGGTTACAAGGGAGCATAGAGAACATCTAGCTGAGGGAGCCAAGAAGAAATTAAATGAATTTAAAGCTGATCTAAGGCACACGAATTTATTTTATTCTAGATTTTTCAAAAACATTGTTATCTTAAATCTGGAATGTGCATCTCAGTAAGGAGCCTCTTGACTGAACATTTAACGGGAATCTACAATTGAAAACTTTTCATTTAAAAGCTTAAACTTATTGATTTTTTAGAATTAAAAAGTCCTTGTGCGTTTCCCAAAAAAAAAGATGTGTATTGTAAATTAATTTGATATGTTTATTTCGACCATCTGGCTCATGCATAAGATGGTTGTGTGTGATCAGGAAGGTTCAGACCAGTGCTCAGAGAAGGGTTGGTGAAGATGAACTAGCAGACAAGGAATACTTTCCAGACACTTAAAAAGAAACCTTAAAATTATCTTCCGATATTGGCATTTTCAAATATCGCAGATTTTTTCTGTCTTTTCTCCACAGATGAATTATATTTGGAAGCTTATACTTCATTTATAGAACAGAGAAATTAAATTGACAAAGGAACTCGCCATACAATCTCTAATATGTTGTTAGGCCTGAAATCTTTGCAACCTGATGGTGTATTGTAAACCTTTGATTGAAAATAATCCATAGTTATTAGTAATAGTATTTATTCAGATATTGAAAATAATCCATAGTTATTAGTAATAGTATTTATGCAGATATTGAAAATCAAAGGTCTGCGACATCAGGCTGCAAAAATTTAGGGATTCAATTCAGAGTTAGTGAGAAGTGTTCAGAGATTTTAGTTACTCAACTTTGTTTAAATTAATCCTCTTAAGGGAATCTTTTCCTTTTCTCAACAATTGCGAGTTAAATTGTGAATTGGAGTCACTCCTTAAACATTTCCATCAATATTAAAGTTATTTACTTAATTTGAAATCATGAAAATTCAAGTATTTCTGGATATATTTAGATAAAATTGTAAAAATTCATTTTCAAAATTTCTTTTTAAGTTTTGTTTTTCAGAGCACAAAAGAAACATTTACAGAATTATGGTGAAGTGGTTTATCAGATACAAAGTCAAGCAATTTATCACCCATTTATTACAGCTTGAATAGCGTACTTGGTGTAGATCAATTTTTGAAAGTATAATTGATCAGATTACTAAGGAGGATGCCAAGTCGGCTCAGGAGACGATCAAATTGATCGCCGATCATTTCCAGGCCCAGGGAGAGATCATGCTCGTGAACAAGACCAAGGAGCTCCTCGGAAAATAGAATATCTCCATCTATCATTTTATAATAAATATTGTACAACCATTCATACTGATGTTATTGACAATTTCTTACAAACAAAGTTCAATTTAAAAAATTACAATTTGGGTAAAAAGAAAGTGTATTAGGGCGAGGGGGGAGTTTTAATGTTTTATATTTTTTCCTGTACATAAGTTTTATATTTTCAGAATGTAATTGTATACTACTAGGTTTACACCCCAAACAGGGGCAAATATGATCTCAATTCTGACATATCTGTTCTTGGTTCTGGAAGTCTGGGGATCAGAACCAGAACTGTTTACTACCCAGACACCAGGTTAGATTTGGATAATTATGTACATATTAATAAATTTAAATCTTAATATTTACATTAAAGTAAATGTAAATATTAATATTTACATGAAAGTAAATGTAAATATTAATGTTTACATTAAGTAGGTAATTGGAATTTTATAAGGCCACACAAAATCTTAAGAAAAAGTCCAGATTTCATCAGAGGTTTATTAGAATTTGTTATAGCTAAACTAAATGCCAAATTTAGTATGTTTTAATAGAAGCTAAAAAAATGCAGTTTTAAAATGTACATTTTTATGTTCTCCAATTTTTTTTCAATTTAATAACAAGGTAATGCCCACCTCTTCAAGGAACCATGTTAAAGGGTAGAAAGTGTACAATAAATGAACTCATCTCGTTTCAACTGCCTTTAACGTATCAATACATATTAATATACCAATATATTAACACTTCTTGGAAAAAAAATCCTTCCGGGTAGGAGTGTCCCACTAACGCTATCAAAATTATGTGTAATAACATTTAAATCCCAACCTTTCTAATGTATGCCCTAGGAGGACATCCCATAGGCAAGAAAGTGTAACTATATCCAAAATGATATTAAACATAGCATATTTTAGAAGAACGAGCTGCACCTCCTTGCACCCATCCTGGAAATATAGAAAATGGTCTAACAGATTGGAATGGAACAGGGAAGGTTGCAAGGTTCGCTTGCTATCAGGTAAAATCTTAAATCTTGTTTCACAAATTCAATCCTATTTATCACTGATACAATTCAATTTTAATTCTGAAGTTAGCATGCTGACCATACTAGTTATTCGCACAATTAATTAATAGATTCAGTATAAGCATGAGGTGTAATTCCAAGTAAAATTTTTATCTCCCCCCATCCCCAAAACTATGAAGGTTGTTTATTAAATCCAGTAACAGCTTAATGTGTAATTCCAAGGAAAAATTGCTATCTCCCCTAATCCCCAAAACAATCAAATAAAAATACTAAATTTAAACAAATAAAATTCGGTGATGGTGATGGACCAAACCTCTGTAGAGTGAAAAAGTATATGTTAGTTCCACATTTGTTGAAAATATATTTCGGTCTGGGTTGACCCTCGTCAGTTTCAACGATATAATAACCATCAAAATCAGTAAAAAAGAAATAAAAAAATATATATATTTCTTATGGTATTGTCGGGAAAGTACGTTGAAACAGAACTATAAATAGAATTATTTTATGAAAACATCATGAATTTTGTGAACATAATGAGTCACTTAGCTCAGAGCTTAGCAAGTTTTTGGAGTTAGAATAGAAGGGAGCCCAAGCCTAAAATCTAAAGATTAAGAACTGGATTAAATTATATTTATTATTATTATAAGGGTTACTACCTGGTGGGTCCCCCTGAGCTGAAATGTAGGTACGGAGTGTGGTATGCTGATGCTCCTATTGATAGACCAACATGTAAACCTGTCATCTGCAGCCATCCAAAGTAAGTGAACAGATTAAAATGAGATCACGTCTTTTAACCCTCATCACTTGAAAGGATTTTGTGCCTACATATTGTTCCAACGATTGTTTAAGTTTGTTTCTATATTCTCAAAAGAATGATAGAAAGTGAGAATTCAAATTATATTTGACTGCAGATATTATTAATTATATCTAACATTTATCAGTTTACTCTCAACATTATTCCTAAGTTTTCTGTGGGACAAATGCTAAATTAATGTAAAAGTCAACCATCATTCCTTGAAATTCTGGTTAAACTGACAAGAATAAGAAGTTGTTCTACCCAAAATTCACAGTTTTTTTCTTAAGTATTCCTCATGGTTCCCTGAGCAGTGGTGTAACTGTTAAGTATAAGACAAACGAAAATGCTGTTGTCATCTGTGATGATGGTTTCAAACTCAAGCATAAGTCTAACAACAAGATTGTTTGCAGGTGATTTCTTTTTAAAAAATTAATTGTATTCCTTTTTTTTTAATTCAGACAATAATGAGATTATAAAAAAATGAGGGGAAAAATTAGGATTAAATGTGACAAAAAAGTGAAATTATTTTCTTTTATAATCATCCATTAAATAAATTGGGCCAAATATGGTGATTACTCATGAGAGAGATGGACGATTAATTAGTAGAATTGGGATCCATGAGAGAGATGGACGACTAATTAGTAGAATCGGGATCCATGAGAGAGAAGGACGACTAATTAGTAGAATTGGGATCCATGAGAGAGAAGGACGAGTAACTAGTAGAATTGGGATCCATGAGAGAGATGGACGATTAATTAGTAGAATCGGGATCCATGAGAGAGATGGACGAGTAACTAGTAGAATTGGGATCCATGAGAGAGATGGACGACTAATTAGTAGAATTGGGACCCATGAGAGAGATGGACGATTAATTAGTAGAATCGGGATCCATGAGAGAGAAGGACGAGTAACTAGTAGAATTGGGATCCATGAGAGAGAAGGACGATTAATTAGTAGAATTGGGACCCATGAGAGAGATGGACGACTAATTAGTAGAATTGGGACCCATGAGAGAGATGGACGACTAATTAGTAGAATTGGGATCCATGAGAGAGATGGACGATTAATTAGTAGAATTGGGATACATGAGAGAGAAGGACTATTAACTAGAAGAATCGGGATCCATGAGAAAGAAGGACAATTAATTAGTAGAATTGGGATACATGAGAGAGATGGACGATTAATTAGTAGAATCGGGATCCATGAGAGAGAAGGACAAATTAATTAGTAGAATCGGGATACATGAGAGAGATGGACGATTAATTAGTAGAATCGAGATCCATGAGAGAGATGGACGACTAATTAGTAGAATTGGGACACATGACAGAGATGGACGATTAATTAGTAGAATTGGGACCCATGACAGAGATGGACGATTAACTAGTAGAATCGGGATCCATGAGAGAGAAGGACGAGTAACTAGTAGAATTGGGATCCATGAGAGAGAAGGACGAGTAACTAGTAGAATTGGGATCCATGAGAGAGAAGGACAAATTAATTAGTAGAATCGGGATCCATGAGAGAGATGGACGATTAACTAGTAGAATCGGGATCCATGAGAGAGAAGGACTATTAACTAGAAGAATCGGGATACATGAGAGAGAAGGACGATTAATTAGTAGAATCGGGATACATGAGAGAGAAGGACGACTAATTAGTAGAATTGGGATCCATGAGAGAGATGGACGACTAATTAGTAGAATTGGGATCCATGAGAGAGATGGACGACTAATTAGTAGAATCGGGATCCATGAGAGAGATGGACGAGTAACTAGTAGAATTGGGATCCATGAGAGAGATGGACGATTAATTAGTAGAATCGGGATCCATGAGAGAGAAGGACGAGTAACTAGTAGAATTGGGATCCATGAGAGAGATGGACGATTAATTAGTAGAATTGGGACCCATGAGAGAGATGGACGATTAATTAGTAGAATCGGGATCCATGAGAGAGATGGACGATTAACTAGTAGAATTGGGATCCATGAGAGAGATGGACGATTAATTAGTAGAATTGGGATCCATGAGAGAGATGGACGATTAATTAGAAGAATCGGGATACATGAGAGAGAAGGACTATTAATTAGAAGAATCGGGATCCATGAGAAAGAAGGACAATTAATTAGTAGAATTGGGATACATGAGAGAGATGGACGATTAACTAGAAGAATCGGGATACATGAGAGAGAAGGACTATTAACTAGAAGAATCGGGATACATGAGAGAGAAGGACTATTAACTATAAGAATCGGGATCCATGAGAAAGAAGGACAATTAATTAGTAGAATTGGGATCCATGCTTGATGCTTACTATGCTTGAATAATGTTGGTTTGATCAGGGAGGATGGTTCCTGGAGTTCTCTGCTAGGTTCTGAGTTTCCAACTTGTGAAGAAAGAGGATGCTTCTACAGTGAAGCTTCGAACCCGGAGATTGGAGATATAGAGATCAATGGAATTAAGCTAGCATTCGGTTAGTTTAACTTTTAATACAGAATAAAGGAATTATTTTAATTGATGATGAACAGTAAAATGAATATCTTAAGGTGTTTAAATAAATAGAAAATTTGTATTAGTTCTTTGTAATTTTCTAAAAATTGTGGAATTTTCTGCATTTTACAAGTTTCATAAAACAACACAATTTTTTTAAACAATAACTTTATACTCTATCCACCGGCCCCTAAGTTTATATGCATATGTATTTCTAAGGTTCCTCATCATACCATATTGACGAGGATGAATCAGAATTTGGACTTTACAGGTATGAATATTCTACTTCTTTTAATTCATAGATTTTTGCATTGATAAATACTTATTTTGTTTTCTAGGCCTGGATCTGTTATGAAGCACACTTGTCAGAATGGCTGGGTAGTTGTACCTGTTGGAGCCGTAACAAGGTAGGATTACTTCTATGAATATTAGGGTGATTGATTTGGATAGATTGGAATTAAAACATCATATAGTTAAGATGATTTTTTGCAAGTTGAAATGGCCACCCTGAAGCTGTTTTTTATGAAACTTAAAATTCAATTGTTCAGTCAAGCAAGTGATAAAAAAATTCTTATAACATATTGAGATATGTGAATAAAAAGATCCATTTTGAGTCAAAAAAAGAAAGTTATTTTTTTGGCCATAAATTAAACAATCGAAGGTAGAGTGGGTCTATTTCTTAAAATCAAAAATCATGTAGCCTAGGATTTAGCTGCACTTCAATTATTTGATGTAATTGTATTGTGATGCATTTGTCAACTATAAACAAATTCCTGTAGCCTAAGTTATGTTAAGTCCAGCNGGGTCAAGGAACCTGAGATCCAGATTGAACAGATTAGAAGGGTCAGAAGATCATTTTATATTGAAGTCTCTGGGGTTGTTGCAGCCTAAGGCTGGTTCCCTTCTTAGCAAACAAACTCTTGAAACCCCCATCTGAAAGTAGGTTTTTAAATTTATTTTTAGAAATTTTCTAATCTTTGCCTTTATTTCTAAGGTCTACCATCACTGATAATTGCTTAATAGGGAGTTGACAACACTAAAACTGACACATTTTTTATTTTTAACGTGTCTGAAACCTATTATTTTGACCAAAGTAATTATATTAATTTGTTAAGTTTTATTCCGATTAAACCCCTTTGACTGCTTCAGGCCCTAGAGAATGCAGATTTTTCCTCTATTATCCTATCCTGAGGCTGAAGGGCCTTGTTTACAGGAATTAGTTTTTAGCTTTTCCGGCTCCTCGGTGGCATATGTTTCATTAAGTGTGTAAAGATTTTCCGGCTCCTCTGTGGCATACGTTTCATTAAGTGTGTAAAGATTTTCCGGCTCCTCTGTGGCATATGTTTCATTAAGTGTGTAAAGATTTTCCGGCTCCTCGGTGGCATATGTTTCATTAAGTGTGTAAAGATTTTGTAAATAGCATATAAAAATAGAATGTTATTAATATAAAAAAAAATCCTTCAACGCCATTACCTATATTTCTGCAGCATCAACTTAAATGAAAATTTGCAATGACCAGCAATAAACAACTTATAGGGCAAAAACGCCAAACAATCTCCTCAATCCTATAAAAAAAGGAAAAAGATAAAGTAAGGCCCTTAACACTAGAGGGACAGCTTTACACTAACTCAAGATGTACGGAATACATTAAAACCGTTTTAGAGAGACAAACTTGAATGTGAACAGCAACTTCTCAGGGCTGATACACCTGATCATTGCACTCCTTCATGGCCATTGTTTATCTTTCTCGGCCTACTCGTCCACCATGGTCAAGATCTCTTTCTGAAATCTCTGAACCGCAGTTAAAGATTGGGAAACATAAAATTTCTCTTTTTCATAAATAAATAAATTAAAAAGTTACCCTTCAATCCAAGGAAAGTTCAGAAAAGAGCCCATGTTACCGCATTACCTCCAATGGAAGTAGCGTAGTGTCATTGGTGGCTGGCCACAAGGGTCAAAGTGTGAACCACCAAGCACAGGTCAAGTTCAAAGGCAAACTGGCACAAACCCACTGCACACTTACCAGATGCACAGAGGTCCTTTCGGTACCCCCATGATTTGTATAAATGTGTGAAAGTTTATTACAAAGTCTGGCTTGGATAAAGTGGAAAGAGCCACACCATGAAAGAATAAGATTCTTGGATCTTATTTTGATAATCTCATCCTTCAAGCTCTGGCAAATATTACTGTCCCTGGAATTATTTATGCAAGGGATGCCATACCAGTCTCATCTGCCGTAATTTAGAAACTGGAGATATTTCAGAACCAGATTGGGAAATCTTTTCTAGGAATGCCTCAATGGACAGCTGAAATAGTTGCCAAGGTTAAGTTGGGTTTGAAGTCCATCAAGTTGTTCGTATAAAAAAAAAGACTGGTTCTTCCAGCATGTTTAAGTCCCAGATTTTAAAGGTATCTATGTAATGTACAAGTAATGCGTAAAGAATTTAAACAAGGATTTTTTTGCTAGGTTAATTAATGTAATTCAGGATCTAATAAAAGAATAAATTAAAACAAACCTAAAGTAAATCATTGGTAAATCACCAAAATAGTAGTGCGCTAGAAAATTTTCAAGATGAAAAAATAGGAACATAAGGAACAAATGAATAGATTAGAAGTACAAGGCAGTATTTTGCAGAATTCAAAATTTAAGAAATGTAATTGAGGACACAATGGTTTATTAATATATTGATTGATTTTTGTTTTAGAGCTTGTAGGCGTGGAAGATGGGATGGTCAGCAGGGGAAATGTATTAAAACTGTTCCCAGGATGAAACCCCAGGGCTCCTGTTCCTCGCCCCCCTTCATCAATAATGGATACTTCCTGTCTGAAAGATACTCAGGGGAGAAACCTTACGTTCTTCCAGTATCAGGGAACTACCAGCATACATATGAGGTACTTGGGGATACAGGAACATGTGCAGGGAAGGGTTCAACAGTCACATGCGCAGGGAAGGGTTCAACAGTCACATGCGCAGGGAAGGGTTCAACAGGCACATGCGCAGGGAAGAGTTCAACAGTCACATGCGCAGGGAAGGGTTCAACAGGCACATGCGCAGGGAAGGGTTCAACAGGCACATGCGCAGGGAAGGGTTCAACAGGCACATGCGCAAGGAATGGTTCTTGTTTATTGAACAAATAATCTGACTTCACAGGCAAATCAAGACGGGGTGGCATCTTTTCTAGAGATAAAGATAGGGAAATTTACAGTGGAAAATTGTGGCCATTGTTAAACCAAATATATATTCTGAAGATTTAAAAAATTTGTGAAAGCTGGAGGCGAAAAATAACCTTCCTCGGAATAATCTTCTTCTGAATTATACAGGGATAAATATTTCTTTGTTGAAGGTTGGAGCTGTGGCTAGATACCATTGTAACCAGGGATACAGATTACATATGCTCTTTGGACAGGATATTTACAGGTAACAGCTTAGAACATTTTAATGCAATTTCAGGAAAATTGAGATGGTTTTAAATATTGTAATTCTCAGTTTTAAAGAGGCTGTAACAAAATCCCAAGTTAGTAAAATGCCAGTTTCACAACTGTGCTGTTTAACGCGAAAATGATGGAGGTATCCTTGGCTTCTATCTGAAAATTAAATAGAAATCAATATCTTCCTCATAGTTACTCAGCCATAGAGGTTTCCTTGGTTTTCCATCTGAAAATTTAATAGAAATCAATATCTTCCTCATTGTTACTCAGCCAAAGTTTTAAAGGGAAATTTATTAAATTATGCATGTATCTCTTTGTGATGATAATCCAGGTTTTTACAAAATGTTTTTTTTACAAATTATGAATTGTTTAGGTGTACTGCATCAGGTACATGGTCTCCTAAGCAGCCTCCAGTCTGTACAAGCAGAACTAATAACATAGGGATATATAGATCTTATTTAAAGTACTTAAAGTTGCAACATCTTACATACAATATGGAACAGTTGGTTAAGAAAGTATTGAACAAAAACATGGTGGCCTCTCTTAAATTCCACCATGTCGGATTTAAAGGGGGTAAATGCGAAAATTAAAAGGGTATAGGTCAAGACTAAACCTTCTTACATTGAGTTATTTGATGTTTTCTGTAAAGAAACTTAAAACTCGCAACAAACTCAAACAACATCGGTTTGCAAAGATTTGAGAACAATTCAATTTATTGCAATTGTTCAGTTGTTATTTACTCTTTAGGCACTAACTTGAAAACGACTGAAATAATTGAATTGAGTGATGAGTTAGAATTTATTAAAAATAAAAACCTGAATCTACGATATTGTTGAATAGAACCTCTGTCTGGGATGATGTGTGCAGTACCAGAGGATGTTGCCTACGCGTCTTATAGGTAAATAGACATCTAGTTTTTAGTGAACCATAATTTAGACATTCAGTTCATAGTGTACGATATTTTAAACATTCATTTCATAGTGAACGATATTTTAAACATTCATTTCATAGTGAACGATATTTTAAAAACATTTAGTTCATAGTGAACGATATTTTAAAAACATTCAATTCATAGTGAACGATATTTTAGACCTTCATTTACAGTGTACGAAATTCTTAACATTTAGTTAATAGTGAACTATACACATATACACAGATCAGAAAGTATAGATCCATCACTGACGCGGACCGTCCTGTCTATCTAGCCTAAAACAGATTTACAAAACAGTCAGCTGTATGTAGCTGTATATTTCGAGTTAATCAATCAATCGAGCTGTAGATTTTGGGGTTGTTGAAAATTCCCACAGAGTGTCCAGTGGTTTCGGGGATGGATCTTGTCTAGAACTTAGTAACAGTAATTAAAGAGATACAAATTGATCTTCTTTGATCCCATTGTGATTTACGTTGTGGCAAGTATAAAATTATCAGACGCCCGGACGCGTCAATCTTGCATCTATACCTGATCTATGACTATTTATTAAACATAAAGTTCATTGTGAACGTTATTTATTAACATTCGCTTACATTTAGTTCCGAATGAAACCTAATTAAATACAAACAAATCCATATTTATAGAGCTGTTGAGGGAGTTGTTACTCCCAATGGAGCCCTTCATGGTTCTATACTGGAGTACAATTGTAATATTGGATACAGGTATAATCATGTTAAACCATGGTACTATACTGGAAAACATCTGTAATATTGAATTTTTTTTCAAAATTTTTTTTACTACGGACAACTCTGGGCCCTTCAGCTAGTAGCAGATATTGTCAGTAAATAAATAAAAAAAATGAAAACCAGAATAATGTAGAAAATTATATGAATATTTTGTAAAAATAAAACAACGACAAGAACTTAACAACAATGAAATAAATATATTAATATTAATTCAAACAATAATTTTATATACTATTTTGTATTTATAATACAACAATGTTTATAGATTAAAGTAATAACATTAAGCCATTCAACTTAGTATTTTCAAATCAAGCTAAGAACATTCCCGTGGTTCGATCGAGTTCCCAAAACAAAATTTGAGGGAAAAAGGTCCAGGTGCTTTTAACAACGGACATACACACACATTACTACTGTATATTTATTTAACTAGCTTGGGAAACCCAGCTTTGTCAAGGGGTTCCTGAGTTATTATCGGACATCCAAACAAACAAAAGATATTACTACTTTTTTTTATGAATATGGATAGAGCATTAATTCCTACAATTATACAATTGGTTTAACAACGGTGAAAGAAAGGTCCAGGGGTTTCTGAGTTATGATCGGACATACAATTAGAGATTACTACTTTATATATAACTAGCTTGGGAAACCCAGCTTCGTCTGGAGATCCAAACAATTAAATTAATTTATAAAGCAATGAGATTACTTTGAATATATTGATAGAACATCATCTTTAACACAATAATATAAATATAAATTAAAACAAAAATATTAACAATAACTTGAACAATAAACAAGTCTTTGATAACAATGCTAAAAATCACTTTAACAATGACACTTTCCTTCCTTCATTTAGTTCAAAATTAGAATATAATGAAAGAATTATTATGACTAGGGACACTATCCTACCCTGCCTGCCTAGCCGGAGAACCTGTCATGCAGGTGAATGGATTGGTTCTCTGCCCTCCTGTGCTCCTTTTGAGTTCTGTCCTAGTGTTCCCCGGATACAGAACGGATATCTTGCTACTCCCAGGGAGGATCTATACCGTCTTCATAGTATCATCAAATACGGTTGCGATAGGTACGTTTTTACCTTATAAAAGGGATTGTTTTGGTATTTGGATTATAAAGGAGGTATTAAAAAAACGGAATAATAATTGTAAATAAATTTCATTAATTTAGCTGAAAACTTGTTAGATACGAGACTTTTAGGCGCTTTTTCAACTTTTAAAGTCGCCATTTTTAAATTGTAATAAATATGAACATTTTTTCCAGGCAAAATTTTTAAACTTCGACCAGTTATAGATAAACCATCCCTGCAAGGGTCATGAGTTACTTCAAAAAAAACTAAATAAATAAATAAAATGCTTGAATGATGTTTATTTAGAGGGTTCTGGATGGCAGGAGTGGATACAATGCAGTGCCAGGCTACAGGCTGCTGGGAACCTAATGCTCTGCCTAAATGTATTGATGAGAACCTACTTTCTACATGGAGTGAGGTAAAGGGGTGGGTTAGAACCTTCTTTCTACATGGAGTTCGGCAAAAAGAAAAAAATAAACTCAGTTTCTATAACTTATATTTTTTAGAACGAAAATCTCAAGTTTAAAAAAATCCCATTTTGGTTAATTTTGAAGATGTCAAAATATATTGTTATCATAGTTTAAAATCTTACTCTGAACAATATTTTTGAAGATATGTTTGCTTAATATTATGAAAAATACAGGGATGGTGAAACACGAGGAGGAGACCGACCCCCTCCACCCCCTCCAGTAGATAGAGTTGCTCTCATTGCATTTGCAGATCAGGTTATTCAAACTTTTGAAACCATTCAAACTTTTGAAACCATTCAAACTTTTCAAACCATTCGAACTTTTCAAACTTTTCAAACCATTTAAACCGTTCAAACAACCATTTAAATCATTCAAACCAGACAAGACATTGATACATTAATAAGTTGATCAAAAGTAAATTTTCATTTTTATCATTAAACTATCTTAAAACTGATTATTAAATAATCAGGACCCTGTGGTGTTACCAAGCTATGAGGAAGCTTTAAGGGAGGGAGTAGGGAACACCAGGTACACTATTTATAATCAGCAAAGTTCCAAGAATAAGTTGGAATACACGGATACGGAAATATATATTGGACATCAATCTGAGAAATCGAAAACGTCCATTTGCGTCATTATTTTTAATGTGATCTTCAGGCTTCTTCATTGAAAAATGATTCTAAATTTGTATTTTTTATCAAATTTATTCTGAAAAAATGGTGTAAACCTTTAACTCTTGTAGTTAGTTTTACGCTGCTATAATGATAGATTTTTGGATTCCGAAACAATATGTTTCTGCCACTAACTCTGATTTTATAATCCCTATTTCTTTGCAACTTGATGCTCTAGACCTCTGATATTTCAAACTTTAAGTTCTGTTAGATTAAATAGTCTAAGTTTGAAATATAAAAGGTTTATACCGTCAAGTTGCAAAGATAGAGGGATTAGAAAATTTGAGCTTGTGGCGAAAACTCAATTCCTTTATTCGCTTCTAGGGATTTAATTTCAAATTACGCAACTATTCTAGCGTATTCGATATTAGTGTGGTTGAAGAAATGTAACGATAATTTTCATTTCAGTTTGTTATCTTGTCAGGTTTTCTTGAAATAATTGAATAATCCAGGAGTGGAAGGGAGAGGGGCCCTGGAACCTCCACTGGATACAGAAACCATCCTCAATATAGAAGGTCTAGGCACCATCATGAACATATCCCAGTCCAGGTAAACCAATAGATACAGAATGATTTGTGTTAAAAATACTTATGGCATATAAAACGACATTTCGAAGTAACTTTTTTAGATTCATGTAAAAAATAAGATAAATATATCATGTTAGTGGTTTATACATTTTAAAAATATCAGGTTAGGTATTGCCTGCATATATTTGAAAATATATCATGTTAGTGGTTTATACATTTTGAAAATATCAGGTTAGATATTGCCTGCATATATTTGAAATTATATCATATTAGTGATTTATACATTTAAAAAATATCAGGTTAGGTATTGCCTGCATATATTTGAATATAAAAGATAAACAGTATATATACTTAAATATAATATGCTTGCTCCTCCTTTTCACGTTAATAATTTTACCTTTTAATTGCTCTGAAGTCTGTAATTTTAAATTATTTTTAAATTTTGGCGGTTGTTTCTTTTTCGAATTGGCGCACTTTGAAAAAGAATCCAATTATTTTTCAGGATTTTTTACTCAATTAAGATGTTCCATAAACTTTCCATTGGGTCATGTTAGGTCCCACACAAAAGTTTAGGCCCAATCGGTTCAGCCGTTTTGACGTTTATTGGAGATAAACGGACCAACTACCAAATAAAGACAGACAAGAATATATATAGATTGGGTTAACGGTGCATGTATTAAAATATTTATTATAAGTTTAATTAACAGTGTATATATTTACATATATTGGGTTAACGGTACATACTGCCTACATCAGGTCAGCGGTGCATATATTTGAATATATTAGGTTAACGGTGTATACATTTAAATATATTGGTTAACGGTGCAACTGCATACTGCCTATATCAGGTCAGCGGTGCATATATTTGAATATATTAAGTTAACGGTGCTTATATTAAGATATATATTAAGTTTAACGGTGTATATATTTAAATATATTGGGTTAACGGTGCATACTGCATATATCAGGTCAGCGGTGCATATATTTGAATATATTAGGTTAACGCTGCGTACAATGGGACAAGTCGGCACCGACGTAGACATGAACCTGACTCAGTGTCCCACCACAGCCTAGGTTGGCCGGTAAGACAGGCCAGTTCTACTACCACATCTCAGTCTACTAGTCTCAGGTTAAAATATGTCGACTTGTTCAAAGAACTAAACTGAATAAACTTAACCAAACTGAGTTAACCAAAACCAAACTGAAATTAACCTGAACCAAACTGAATTAACCTGAACCAAACTGAATTAATCTGAACCAACCTGAATTAACCTGAACCAAACTGATTTAACCTGAACCAAACTGAATTAGCCTGCGCAAGTTTCATACCTGGGTATCTGCTCCTGTCGAGGAAGTCCACCTAGTTCTGTCCAGGCGCGGGTCGCCTGGCATCGTCTAGGACGGGTAAAGAGGAGGAGAGAAGGAGTAGATGAACCGCCTGGTCTGGTCCGATCTGCAGGAGCACGAAAACGGTATCTGAGAAAGGGAGCGACGGATCCACAAGACTGCGGGATCCAGAAAGCGATACGATAGAAAAACAGAAGATCTTCTGGGCATTTATCTGGAATATGGACACCATGGACGAAAGACATGGACAGTATAATAATCACAGATAAAGACGCATAGTGAGAAGAGATAGCAGCAGCAATTAGAACCTAGATAAAGGTTCTGTGAGTTGGGTGGCGCTGAACCAAACTGAATTGACCTAAACCAAGCTGCATTAACCTTAACCAAACTGAATTAACCTTAACCAAGCTGAATTAACGAAATTAACTAGACGGAATTAGCCTTCACTAAACTTAATTAACCATAATCAACCAGAATTAATCATAACCAACCAGAATAAACTTTAATCAAACTGAATAGAGTTGAACCTAACTGGATAAAACTGGACCAAACTGGATGAATCTAACCCAAACTGAAATGACCTGAACCAAACTAATCAGAATTAACCCAAACTGAACCGACCTGAAACACACTAATTCGAACTGAATCTAGCTTAACCGAACTAACTGTTAAAACTGAACTAGGTCTGGAAGTGTTCAAAGTGTTGAAACTGTTGGGAACAGTGAAGGAACAGCTACAACAGAGACATCACAGACTCCTTCATGTCGTGCTCTAGCAGGTTTATGAACAAATATTGCGATTTATTTATTTTTAGTTTATTTTCGTTTTTAAACTTTTCCTTGGCACTTTATTTTTCAAATTTTTTTAGATTTGATTTGATTTGATTTGATTTGATTTGATTTGATTTGATTTGATTTGATTTGATTTGATTTGATTTGATTTGATTTGATTTGATTTGATTTGATTTGATTTGATTTGATTTGATTTGATTTGATTTGATTTGATTTGATTTGATTTGATTTGATTTGATTTGATTTGAATTGATTTGATTTGATTTGATTTGATTTGATTTGATTTGATTTGATTTGAATTGATTTGATTTGATTTGATTTGATTAAGGTTCTCTTGCTTCCTTCGATGCTACTGTACTGAACACTGAAGGAATTCCTCTGCTGGAAGAAAATGAATTTGAATCCGGCTCAAACTCGGTAAGCTAGACATTTTAGACATTTGGTTCAGACATTTTAGACATTGTATAGTGTAAATGTTTCAGACACTTCAGACAATTTAAACTATGAAGACATTTTGAACATTTGAACCAGACTAATAATTGGTGAATTATACATTTTAGAGATGGCAGACATTTTGAACAATTTTAAATAATAAACAGTTTATTAACAATTTAGACATCTAAAAATTTAAATATCTAAATTTTATTATTTAAGATTTAGTAGTCGCCTTCAATCTAATATTGTGGGTTTGAATTTATAGTAAAGATAATTTTTTATCAAAAATTCGAACTGAAACTATATATTATTCATTCTTAGGTTTCTGAACACGCTGACACTGTTAGTGCTTACAGTGACAGCAGCAGCAAATCAAACCACAGCAGATAAATCCGACATAGATCTAATATAGATCTAGGATAGATCTAGGATAGATCTAGAATAGATCCTAGATAGATCCAAGTTAGAAAAGTCGAAAAGTCTAAGATGGATCAGGGTTTGTTGGCAAATACACCCTGTGCCACTAACTTAGCAAATAGAATTATAAAACTGGCAAAAATATAAAATCAAATATTTTGCAAACAAGAGCTATTAACGTTTTTCATTTAATATAAAAAATCTTTAAAATTATAATGAAATAAATTATGATGATTATTTTTGCAAGTTGTAATAATTAGTCTAATTTGCATAATTTCTTGGCGCACGGTGTAGAGTAGATGTAAGATAAATTGAAAATATCAAAATATTATGCATTGAGGAGAAATGATCTGAACTCTGCAGAAAACTGAACTACATCAATAATTTATTTTAGATTTTGTCTCAAATAAATGAAATTAAATGCTCTTTTCAACGCTTTTGCTCTAGATCATATATAACTGGTATATAAAACTTGTATGAATATCAGTAGTTATTTAACGCCATGCAGAGCGTAAATGGTCTAAATGTTTTTAATTCTAAATTATATCATGCCGTATAAAAAAAAATTTGCGTAATATGCGTCTATGTTATTTTGACGCATTATCCAATCTTGTCTTTATATATTATGAACCAAAAAAGAATGCATTGTAAGGGACTATGTGTAAATATTATATTCCTTGTTTTACTTAAGAAATATTTATAAAATATATAAAAAAATATGTAATGTTGAATGTTATATCAATTTAACTTCTATTATAATATAAACTAGTACTTTTGTTATGACAAATTGTAAAGTTTAAAAATTTTAGCACAATATAAATCCCCCCTCCCCCCACATAAAATCCACATCCATTTACCCTAACAACACGTTCATATCTAATTCCGAAATTTCAAATTTTTAAAATGAAATCGAATCTTTTTGAATTTTTTAGACAATTTCCAAAGCTGCACCCTTTAATTTATTGTTATTGTTAGACTCGTTAGACATCTTATTTCATTTGTCTTTTAAACATTTCAACCAACCTATTTGTAAATTAATTCTAACTATTGCTGTTTTACACCTAACTAAATTCTGATTTGATAAAGATTTTAGGCAAGTGTCAACATTTCGCAATTTGCATAGTGTACAACAAACAGACTTTTAGTAATTTCGGAACATGTTAAACTTTTCAAATTTTGTAAGTGGCAATTTAAAGTTTTAAAATATTTGATGTTGAAAAAAACGAATGAAATAGGATGCCCACTGCCTAGTCATTGTCGTAATTTTTGATTAAAGAAATTCGGGTAATTCGTTCTCTTAAAACTTAACAAGTAAAATGTACCAAAGAATTATAACCTCTCTTAACATTGTGTTATTTTCCTGCTTACCAGCGTTAATTATTAATGAGGAATACCCTCTGAAAAATATTTTATTTTCCATTATACCCTCTTAAAACAGAAATGATTAAAATAAAGTTTTGTTTCAAATATTTTATAAGATTTTATCAAAAAATCTAGTTATAAGAATCTTTATCATGGTAATAACTTTTAAATTTCTTTCGCCATTAAAAAATATTTATTCAAGAAAGCAATTATATAAATAGAAAATACAAAGAATTGTATTGCAATGCAACGTAGCACATTTGTATACGTTTAGAATTAAAATATTTTTTTGATTCTTTTTAAAACTTTAACTGACTTTAATTATAACTAGTCATAAGTTTCTGGTTATTTGATTATCTTAAGAAGCTTTAAAACTGAGCTTATTTCAATTCTTTTTTTCTCTTTTTTTCTCTTTTTTTCATTGATTGTTGTTCTTTTTATTCCGTGTAAGGTTTCATTACATCCGAAAAATGTAATCTCACTTCTTCATTTTTTCAGTTTAAAGTATAATTACAAAAATTACCTTTTGTACAATGGGACTCATAAGACGCTCTGAAGCAGGATTTTTTTTGTTATGCAATCTTAAATGTATTTGATGTTGTTATGCAATCTTAAATGTATTTGATGTTGTTATGAAGCAAATAATTTTACCAGAACTTAATGGCTCTGTGTAGTGTATGTCATCTATGTGCAATTGATGTGTATTATGTTCATTAAAACATCTGTTATTTGCTCTTTAACAGCCGTCATCTAATCCACAGTTTTATGCGTCTCAAAGTACTGTTCTTAAAAACAAGAAAAATAAATGATTTTTTGTTAATTTTGTTTATTTTGTTGTTTTTGTGATCTTAATCCGGAATTGTATAATTTCTCGTTACCTTAATTTTATTTAAATGTCTTGTATAAAAATATATGACCAAAGTATAATTACAACTCACACAAAGCTTATATTCAATGTTAACAAGTAAAGAATTTATCAGAATATTAAATTGAATTTTAATGATTAAATTTTAAGATATTATATAGCTCTTGGAGAAATAAAAATA